AAATTCGAAATTTTTGTAAAAGTATCAGGGGAACATGACAATCGAGGAGCTCGTCACTGAAATTTTCACTGAAAGTGAAAAATTCGAAATTTTTGTAAAAGTATTAGGAGAACATGACAATCGAGGAGCTCTTCACTGAAATTTTCACTGAAAGTGAAAAATTCGAAATTTTAGCAAAAGTATCAGGGTAACATGACAATCGAGGAGTTATTCACTGAAATTTTCACTGAAAGTGAAAAATTCGAAATTTTTGAAGAAGTATCAGGGGAACATGACAATCGAAGAGTTATTCAGTTTTTAACCAATATTTCGATTGATTAGCCATTTACAAAAGAAAAAAATGGAATTATTTAAAAAAAAAAATGAATGACGGCGGGATCGAACCCGGGCCGTCGGCGTGCTAGCCGAGCACGTTACCGCTAGGATAACGCATTAGATTACAATAATATAATTTCATTAGGAGTATATATTTTGCAAAAGTATTGTTTAAAAAAATTGCTAATTTTTCAATTTCACTGTATATCTTCTCGATTATCAAATATTCAGTTTTTAAACGATATTTCGATTGATTTGCCATTAACAAAAAAAAAAAATTGTAATTATTTTGAAAAAAAAAAAATGAATGATGCCGGGATTGAACCCGGGCCGCCGGCGTGCCAGTTGAGCACGTTACCACTAGGACAACGCACATATTTAAAAATTAAAATTCATTAGTGGTATATATTCAATACATTGAATAATTTTTTTCATTGAAATTTCACAAGATGTGGTTTCCCCCTTCCGCACGTTCTTCAGTCGGCTAAATTTCAGTTAAACAAATAAAAAACAAAGAGCATTCATACCGCAGAAAATAAAATTCACCCCGTCGACTTGATGGACACCCCAGCATTGCGTGTGGCGCCCTCCCTCTTTTGGGGTGCAGTACTTTGCGTTCTAACGTTAACGTTCATGACAGTCGGATCCGCCCCGGCGGCATTATTCAATATAAATATAAATATATTTACATGGAAAATTTATTTAAAAAACCAAAATTGGTACAATTGTAATGCCCTGAAAGTTCGAGAACGAAAACACCACGGGGAAGGACCTAATATGGACACCTGGAGCAAAGTAGATGATGAGGAAAAACGTTTCGATAAATAAGTGGAAAGATTAGCTAAACCAAAAATTTGAATATCTCTGTACCTAAGAGAGACAGCGAAAATTTTTCCAGACCTTTTTTGTAGAGTGCAAGGAGAGCAACAAAAAAGGTTACAATAAAAATTTTAATATTTCTCGTGGATTCAGAGATATTCTTAAATATTAAATTCAACTGGTTATTTGAAATTGGTGTGCATATTAGCCCGCCCTTCTCCATCTAGTCTTTGCATTCGTCAGATTAAATCAAACGAAACGCTGGATAGTCCTGTGATCCTGGACCCTCTCCAGGCACTCCAAATTGTCCCACCAGAGAGGCAACTTATGATTAAGAATTAACTCAAACCAAGGAGTTAACGGAGATTCACAATTACTCGCGAATTCCTCGATATTCTTCTTGGAAATCCACTTGATTTCACTGACTTCATCTGGATTAGGATCCAGTGTTATTTTATTTTTTTTCAGAAATAAAACATAGTCGATCTCGTGCTCTCCCCAAACGTCATCGTGCCCCATCGCTTGGTAGTGGATCCTCGTGACGTAGAAAAAATCCTCGGGTTGAATTTCGCTGACTGGAATCCCAAGCTCGTAAGCTAGCCTTCGCCGGGCGGCTCGTCTGATGCCAAGGGCGTCTCCCTCCTCTGATTCTCCAGGTACCTCTGTTAAAGGATGACTGCAGCAAGTGTTGGTGTAGTAACCAGGAAAAGTTATCTGCAAAATTCAGGAATCGTTTGTCTGATGATCGCACGAGCTGTTTAAAAAGGATATAAATATAAAAGAAAAGTCACTAGGGCAAAGAGCGCACTAGTTCAATATCCTATTTAAAGAATCCTCTGAATAGAATAAATCATCGCCACACAATAGAGCAAAAGAGTTATTTTCTAGTCTCGATGAATAAATTTGAGATTGATTTATTCATTTATTCATTATTTATCTCTATAATTCAGTAAGATGGCAAAATATACATTTTTGCAATTCTGTCAGCTGAACAAACAAAAATCCGATAAACAATGAATTATCTCCTTAAGTTCCAGAGATATTTGAGAGGAAAATTGAATTACCTTCGACGCAGATCGTTTCTGCAACAAGAGATCTCCTTTGCTGTCAAACAAAAAGACACTGAAAGCGCGATGAAGAGGGATTTCCCCATCCTCACTGATCCTATGACAGTGTCTCTTGGTGGCATCCCCCAGGGGTTTATCAAACTCATCCACAAGAATACACCTCTCCTCCAAAGCGGCTTCCTGAAGAGGAGCTACTCTGGCAGTAGCATTCCTCCCAGCTGAAGACGTGAGACCCCTCACGACACTCCTCACGCCACTCGTTATCTTCAGCATCCTGAGCTAGACTGACTGCAAAAGCTCAACAACACGTCGTCAGTCCTCGGAAGTTCTCTTTATTGACATGAAGTCCCAGTGCAATCTCCAGTCAGATCTAACGACGAGAATAATCTCTCAAATCCATGCACCTCCTCTCGATCCTCACCCCAGGTCCCCGATACATACAACAGCAAACAACTGACTAATCTCAGATAAAAAAAAAAAGAACCAGTGCGTCAAAACTCACATTCTGTCACGCACCAAATCGTTACTAATTGCACCAATACATCCAGAATTTTCAAGGTCCCGAGCTGAAGACTGCAGAATGGAATTCAATTTATTTCCCCCAGGTCTTGAGTGAAAGTCCCCGAAGTGGGACACGTATTTGTTATTTAACGAGTCGAGTGAATGTGAAAATAATCCCTCTTTTTTTTTACATCCACCAACACATGTGCCACTGTGCACTCTTGTGTGCTGTTAGCATGATGTCATATTTACGGGTAGAGTATCCCCACTACTTGAAACTTGATTTTGGTTTACGCGAGGTACTTGTTATTGAGGAAATTCGAGAGTGTGAGTCGTCGACTGAGGGGATGATTTATCTACACACCCTTTACTGTGTAGGAGTTCAATTGGATTGAATTTCCTGGTGATAAGAATGTCTCCATGAGACAAGATTAGTCTGCCTTCTGAATGGTTAGAGTTGAACGATGAAGTTGAGGTTATGGAGGGCGAGGTTGTTTTTCGTGACTCAGTCTGACATTTCGGGTTATTGTTACTGGTTCTCTGGTGGGATTGGAGATCTACCAGAGGATTCCTCCTGATGCTGTTTATTCCTTGTCATCCTCTTGGTCGGATGAAAACAGTGAGAAACTGGTGAACACGACGTGGATGAATTTATTAATTTATTAGTTTGTGGGTACGTGAGGATAATTTATCGTGGGGGCTGTGGTGTCGCCCTTCCGGGGGCGATTGGTTTCCTGATTGCAGTGGCTATTGATATGACTTGGAGAACGTGAAACCATTGTTGGGACATGAGGTGTGTGGGTGATATTATTCAGGTAGGGATAATGAAGTTGGTGAGTCACTCGTTGGGGATTAATTGGGGGAATTGTCTTTCAGGGTTGACTGGTCGTGTCATAAACGCATGGGATCATGTATGATACGTTCTTCCAACAGGATGCCTGGTGTTACTGGGTTATATCCGTTGCTGCACTCCTCTCCTTCGTGGGATTCGTCGTCGCCTGCATATGCAGTTGTCGACACAGCGAAAACAAGTATGATCACCATTTCTTATCCATTTCTCTATATTTCATACAATTTTTAAAACACCAGGAATCCATATATCACAGAATATTCACATTTGTTAATGTCTTCATCTCAAATATTTATTTTCACTGTTCATTCCCTTCTCACTAGCCCTGAAATATGAATTTTTGTATCTCAAAAAACTGTGAATAATATAAATGTAATCATTGTGGTAGAACATATCACCCATTTTTAATTCTTCCGACATTTTTCCAGTGATTGAACGATTGCCCATGTTTTTTTCCCATTTGTTTATAAAAACGAATTGTTTATTATCAGATTGTCCAATATCCGATGAATTTTAGAGAGGAAGGAATTATGAAAATTATTTTTTTTTTGAAAAACTGCAATGTTGTGGATACAGGAGCGAGTTCTTGGGTCTTCCTGGTATGGTGACGATGACACGTGCTGATAACGAGATATTCGATCGACAGCCAACCATGGATTACAGTCAGATTGTCGCACTGGATGCTGTAGACTGTGGAAAAAGGTGCCAAGCCCGATGAATAAACGGCATGGCAGCATGACCCTATCGCTAATTCATATTCTAATGAATTATTAATCCGTTAACAATGATCGGCAAAAAATATTCACTAAAAACTTCATTAGTATTCATAACTACGAGAATTACTAAATATTCCAATGTGAATAGAAGTGATTAAATCCTCGATTAATTGGCATTCAGTATTTTCCATTATACTGAATATTGAATGGAGTATTTAGACTTCAAATTGTATTTGCTTATCTATTTTTGCCGATCAATGACCTGTCACCCACGAGTCACGCATTCCATCTAACACGAATTAACAATCAATATCTTGGGTTTATTTATGGTGATTTCTAACGACTATTTTTCATATTTCAATATTGATATTAGTGCAAGGTGTACATATTCCCTCTGTGGCTGGTTTTCTCCATTGAAACTCTTTCCCATTCATTCAAATAATTCAGGGGTTTGTCTATCTAGGACTAGCACAGCAAATCGCAGCCTCCCAGATATTCCTAAGGACAGGAATATCACCCTGGGGGAGGGAGGCCTGGAGGCTAATCCTCAGGATGTTATTTACGAGGCTGCGGAAATCATGGGGGACCCCTCAGAACTGTACGCCACAGTGCAAGACAAAAATGGTTCGTCATCGGTTTCATCAATTCTCGGTAGATTGTGTAGAATTTTTTGAGAAAATATAATTATTTTCCAGTGAACCGGAGCAACGACAGAGGGACACGTGCAATATCTCAGGAGTCGTCATCCCTCCAAGAGGATGACAGTGCCTACCCATACGCCAGACTAAATACATTAAATTCGACAAACGAGGAGCACCCATACGCCCAAGTGCAAAACGTCTCGAAGCCGGAGGTAAATCGTCAGAGCAGTTTCCGAACGCCAACTAGTCAGACCTCATCGCACCCAGGTCCCTCGACAAATCCCCCAAACCCCATAGCACCTCCACGAACACGTCGTTCCTCCTCCCACAACTCTCTCCTCACCCTGGACTCCTGCACAGACATTCAGGCTGCAAACGCAATAACCGGTGGTGTTCAAGCGAATCAAGATCTTCCCTACATGACACCGCCACTCCTCACACTCCCCCGATTTCCCCAGCCCCAGGCAACACCCCAGCACTTCAGCGGTGATTCGCAAGACTCCAAGGGCTATACCAGCATCTCAGTGCGCGAGCCCCTCGCCAATATAATAGCCCAGACAAAAGCCGCCCGCCAGAATCGTGGAAATCGGTCAGATTCGCACTACGCAACAGTCTCTGACGATTCAGATGAGATGTACGCGGCAATTGACGAGCAGGAGAAGATCTACACGAGTGGCAGTGAAACTTATGCCCAGATTCAACCGATGGTGGAGTTACCGAGGGTCCAAGATCCACCAGTGAGTGTTCAACCATTGAGAATTGAAGAGATACTCAATCCAATGACTCTACCAGCCCCTCAGCCTCCAAGTGTTGATTCCCTACGTCATGTGGCACACGCCCACTCGAGACAGGCGTCCAGCTCCAGTGCAACGAGCTCCATAATCAATCCTGGATCACCAAAGCCTGAAAAACGTCAGGCGAATTCTCCCCTGCCACCTCCACCCCCTCCACTTCCCTCTGGAGGTGAGGAAGCCACCGACGTTTACGCCCTGATTGATAAATCTGGAAGGGGTGAGGATGGCGCCAAGCACCTGGAGGCCACCGTGGGAAAATCCCTGGAGGATATGTATGCTAAAGTAATGAAGAAGAAGAGGGAGTCTGAGGAGGATTTCCCCAGTGACAGCGGACGTGTCAAGAAACAAAGTGTCATGGAGGTCAGCAGGGCCTCGTGGTCCAGTCACGACTCTGTGGAGATCCAGAAGAAGGAGCCTGAGGCTGTCAGGACCACCAACGTATCACCAGAGACTTTTAATATGGATTCCATTGAGTTTGCCAAAGTCGCGAGAATTTACGAGCTCGATACCACCCCTGAGTACAGCTTTGAGGATCTCACGGCAATCAGGGCACAGCCTCCCAATGATCCCAATTATGAGATGCTGAGGCCTCAGAGTCACAGGGATGAAGGGGGATTGAGGAATGGTGTGGATGTTCTTCCTTTTTACTCGGTGCCATTCAAGCATCGACAGGTCAGCAATGCCAGCTCTGAAGATCCTGGGTATGAGAAGGTCAGGATCAAGAGGAAAAATTATCCGGATGGCGACACTGACTCTGAGCCTAATTACGAGAGTATGCCTCATGAGGTTGAGCCTAATTATGCGTTTGTCTGCAGGGAAGACAGTGATACTGATCCTAATTACGAGTCTGTTAATAATTCTGATCCTAATTATGAGAGTGTCAGGTATTTGGGGGAGGGTATGGAGCCTCCTTATGAGAGGGTTGATGGGGGGAAGGGGGTGGATGGGTATGAGAAAGTTGGGAATAAGGTGGAGGCGAATTACGAGAGAATTCAGGGGATCGTCGAGACTGGGGATACTGACGATGAACAGTATGTCCAGGTCTGAGGGAATTGGGAAAAGTATTTAACGATTTTTTGGATCAAAGATGATTATTGTTTAGGCGAGGATTTTTGGATTATGGTTTCATGAGGAATTATGCAGAAGCATCCGTTTATAGTACAATTTATTTCAGTAGAAGTGGAAGTGCAAATGGGAATTCGACGGTTTTGTGGCGATTTATCTGGGGCACTGTTGGTTTTAAGGGAAAATTGCAAAAAAGATTTTTTGCTCGGCGTTTAATTAGCTGGAAAAAAGTCATTTGGAGTTTTTGTCTTGAATTAATATTTCTCGGGATATATCGACAGTTGTCTCATTTTGCCATTAAACTGCCGATTTTTTTCTCGTTGAGAACTGTAGTTAGTCGATAGGGAATTCACCGACAGGTGTTTTAGTTAGTGCTTATTATTCCTGGGATTAGTTATCTTTCTATTGCCATTTGTTTCCCACTATTTCAACCGGTGTTTGAATATTTATCGTAATTTTTTATATTGTAATTTAGAGGAACGTACAAGAGATTAAGAACGAGAGGAAATTTTTCGAAATGAGATAATAATAAATGTAAAGCACTGAGGATAAGACTGATGAAGACTCGAAGTGAGAAGTTTTTATTGGAAAAAAAAATGGAAATAATGGAGAAATTTGGAGCATTTCGTCTTTGGAAATCGATCGCAAGTGTGTAAATATTAATGATGTATTGTCAGGTACAAAGATGGTCTGATTGACTCTAAAGGCATTAAATTATTTCTATTTATTTATTGAGCCATCATGCATTCCATGGTATTGAACTTTCAAATGAAATCTGGACGGAAAAACGATTAATAGTAAATGCATATCCAGTCTCTCGAGGGCAATTGCTTTATTCAATTGAGACGTGTAATTGTCACTCTCGATCGAATCTCGTACTACTATCGATACTGATCATTTCGATAAATAGAAATCTTAACTCGCAGTAGATTGAACGAAATAATATGTGATGCTGACAATTCGCTCAAAACTTATGGCCTGACGTTGAAGGAGGGGCACGTCATTGTCAAGTGCAATCTCATCCAACGACAATGATCGACTAATCAAATTTTAATGTCCTATTCATTCTATTTTTCTTCAAGTCTTTTTGTACGTACAGATGAACAAACGAATGAAAATTACACGGAGAGAATATTCAGTACTGAAGCCAAGTTACTAGTTGACTTATGACAGTTTTTTGAAAATATCTTCGAAAATAAAAGAGATAGAGACATTTGTGTCGTATACTTTTTATAGCTCTCGATTATCCCTTCAAAAAAGGTGTTTATAGTAATTTTATTATTTCCCTTAGGTTTGGGGATATTGTCGAAAAACTGCCCAGAGAGCTTATTCTATTCTTTTTATGCTTCAGTACAGATGTAAATATATTTCCGTACACGATAAATTCCATCGGACTAAGATGACATAAGCTTATTAATTATATTGTGTGTACGTACAGACGCACAATATTTTATGGCTCATCAAATTTTTGATGACGAATACCGGAGTATTTCACATTTAATTGTAACAGAAGTAAACAGTAAGTAAAACGAATAAAAATTTTTTCTTATTTTGGAAATAAATGATTTTGAAAAAAATGATAACTATTGGTGTCTTGTTTTCGCACTGAATTTTTATTCTTCTTTCTGTTATTTACAATTAATAAAATTCTTTCACCCTCTCACGATCCATTCGCTAACACCAAGAAGAGGGATCGAATGTCAACGAAATTGATAATAAATTTTCTTCACATGTACCACAAGTTTTATCTTCATTGTGGGCAAGACAATGACATGTTGAGGGACGAGCGGTTCGAAAAGAGATGAACAAAAAGAGAATATAATAATTCATTCGTTTTTTCGCCAACTCCCCACAAATTCTATACAAATTTTCTGGTTTATCATTCTTGCGAAATTTACACTCACCCATTTACACCTCCTCCGTTTATTTATCATTAATTTCATATATAATATATATTTATATTTATTTATAATAACATTCCCCTCGAACTCCCAAAAACCCTTGGCCCATTAATCGCAATGATTTATATTTTTCCGCGCTATCCACAGTTGACGAGGAATGTATACGTATAATTCCCAACGAATGCGCCATTTTGTCGGCTTCCCTACCAAATCCCAAATCTCCTGAAAATTCATTAGAAAAACCTGACGTGAGTGATTTTAATATGAAAATCAGTTTTTACTTGAAGCGTCAGATTTCTCTATCAATTTTTCCAACGTGTTTATCTAAATTAAATTTATTTGATTGAAATACATGATTCATCTGTGAAGGGCGCACGTCTGAAAAATTTCGTCAAAATATTCCTCTAACCTCTTCAGTTTCATTACATAAAACGAAAATTCCTCAATTTTTGTTGTTTCAAAAATTTAAATAATCGATCAATTATTATTCCAGTGGAGGATTGTTTCAAAAATTTAAATAATCAATCAATTATTATTCTTCCAGTGGAGGATTGAGTTGTCAATTTTTTAAATTGTTTTGACGAGAGTTTTTAAAACATCAGCGGGAAAATGTCTGTACGACTGGGATTTCCCCTATTAATTAAAAAAAATCAGCCGTCAATGTAATAAAAATGGTATGTGATAACATTTCAAGCATTTCGGCGGATCGACAGAAATGTGTAATGATTATTTCGTCTCATTACTCGCAATGCGTATGATTATCACATTATTATATTAATCCCCGATTCAGCGAAAAAAAAAAATGAAAAATAAAAACTAATTGAACACAGTCGTTCGATATATCAATCAATAAGTCTTACACGACGTACTGCTCATAGCTATATTTATATTAATAATTACCTATAATTAGCATTTATTTTCTCGATTTAATTCACGTATGTATATATTTTCAAATTCACCAGTTTGCATTTATCATTTTTTATTACACTATAAAATGTGAAAACTTGCGCTTAAGAAAAATGTTTAAATGCGATGAGCAACGGAGTTCAGCTTTCTGTTATATTTCATCAATAATTAATTCAATTTTTCCTCGACTCTTGGTTTTATTACCATTCATTCACTCATCATTTTATCCTGAAAAATTCAGTTGTCCGATGGCTGTCACATTTTCACTCAATCTCGACCAGAAATAACACCAGTTTAATCCAAATAGTATGTTTACACTTTCCTATTCAATAGTTATCTCTCCACTATCTCTTCAGTGCATTAATGTCGATGGTACGATTATTTTAATTTATTTATCATAGTTTAGAATATACTTTGGTATAGCTCCAATGGCAGCGATTAATCTGAAATATACATATACTTGGATATCGTTACAATAATAATCATTTATCAATTTTTCTTTTATCATTTTTGGTATTATTATTTTTCTCTTTAATAGTTTCTTATCAGTACATACTGCGTTCTGTCTTTAGAATTTGGAAGATTGGCAATCAATTAGAATCTTTCATTCGTGATATTTCCTTCGGCTTTTGATGACATTCTTGGGGGAATAATGAGCGAGTGATTAACCCAATGGCAGTATTTTTGGAAATAAAAAGAAGTTAATGATTTGTTCCATCGATAAAATCGGCCACGAAACTCATTATATTTTTGAGAGCTTTTACTTTGTTTATTCACTAGTGATGCCCAGAAATTATATATGTATTCCTGAATAATATGTGCGTTGATGACTTTTTAATGGAATCGCTTCAGCCTCATTCCTGTGAATTCTCAAATTCTCCGTAATTTACGAAAAAAAAAAATCTACAAACTCATTGCAATTGGTACCTAATGAATGGCGAGATCCGACGAGTGGACCCTGTTTACCTATACAAATTGTTAGCAGACTATCAAATTTAATGCTATCGGAATTGCCTCGTATTTATTTCATAATAAAACTATCACGTTCTTGGGCGTTCGTGAATTTATCAATGAAAATGGTACAAAGATTCACCAGAGAAATTCTCGAATAAATTTTCTTTATTCCATTTCACCACAGAAATTCCCTCAACTCGAGAACGAAGAACGAAATTAAAAAAATATTAACTTGTAGACCCTTAATTGTTAAACCAACACGTCTTATTTCTAAAATGCATCCTTAACTTCCGGTTTTACAATGTTTCATTTTATTAATAGCCCCCACAATTGCTGCGATCGCAATGTGCGATGAAAAAAGTCACGTGTTTCAATGCAAAATAGACTGTTTAATTATTCTTCAATCGCATTTTATTTTGAACAGTATTTTTCGTTGTAATGGCAAAATATATATCGCGCTCATATTTATTTTTTTGTTTTTTTTTTCACAATAAAAAAGATTGAGTTGACGCGTTTTATTTCTTTGGATGACTCGCAGGTACCAGCCTACAATGTTTTTTCTCCCTATCCCATTTATTACAATTACAAAAATTATGCAATCATCTACAGATAAATCACGTGATTTTTCTCATCCGTAATGTCTCTCCTTATTTCGATGTTAACAATTTAATATTTCATTATTTCTTTTCGATAATGTTAAATCCGATTGATGGTCTAATGGTTTCATTAAATTGCGTGCCAATTATCTATCCTATGTATCACATATATGTAATAATACGTATATGTATTTACACATACAAGAGTTATGCAAAATGTCTTTACATCTCATTATTCTCTCTTCAATTTCATGATTTCCCCTGTGTCTCAAATGACGAGTGAATAATCTCCGGGCTGTGATTACCCACTTGGCAATGGCAATTAATACAGACTTGTATAGATTATTCTTTATGAAGTGGCACTGTCTCACCTGCCCGATTACCCCATCAATTTTCATTTTATCTCTTCATCATCAACAACAAACAAACAACAACAACAACAAATTACGCAATTTTTGTTCATTTATAGGCGTCGATGATAAGAGCAGATGTTCCTCGTATTTTTTGTTAATCCGTAAGTGAAGTGTGGATTCGCCGATTTTAATACTGCCCGAAACAATTCGCAAAGGCGCATGAAAAATTTCGAATAGGATTTTTTCTACTATTTTTCCCCACGCGCGTTAAAAACCGCCGAGAAAAAAATTGCGACAAGATTGCTTCAACGATTTGTTCAATCCAAAAAATCATAATAAACCGAATTAAACATAATTTGGGGATATTTTAAATTATTATTATTTCCCCCGCATTTGAACGGTGTTTTTTTTTCAATTTGAGGGATTATTTATGCAATTAAATACTTTAACCCAGAGGATAACGAAAAATAATAAAATATCTCACCGAAATTTCACGTTTTCGAATTCTTCAGTTGATCAGATATTTTGTGAGCAATATGAATGATTGAGTGGGCACCAATCATGAGTAAAGTACGACGAAAAATGAAGCACAATGGTCACGGGCTTTCGGGGCTGCTGATGTCCTCCCCGCAGACGTGTTCACTGTCGCTGGGTGGACTCGGTTGATCAAGATGATACTGATCACTGTAATTGTGAGTGTGCCCATGGCTGTGCATACTTGACGTACGCTGGGGCAAACTGTGATGACGATAGCAGTAACGCACATCCTCAACCCTCTGCTGGAGATCATCAATGTGCACCTCTTGAGGACGACGTTTGAGCTTGCGATGGCACAGGAGACAGATTATCATAGCCAGGATAACAGCTGCTGCTGCACCAGCTACTGGAATAGCGTAGCTCACTGGTGGCACGATTGTTGTACCTAGAAATCATCAGCTGGATCTTAAAAAAAATCCACCATCAATCCCCCAATTTCCTCACTCATTTTGCTTCCGAATGAAAGGGTCAATTTTATGGTGTACATATGTATGGATTTATGTATTCATGTGTGTGGGGTATTTTTTCATTTTTTTTTCCAGAATTTCGACAATCCACCGATTTTTATGACTTGTCGACGATTTGAAATTATTTATTTTACTGCAAGCCGATTTTTCGACGATGGAAGTTCTTAGAGTACATAATAATTATTAATGATTATTAAGAGAATCCATTCGGAAGCAAATTGTTAATTAATCAGCAAGAATGCTCATACTGATTTAACTAAAAATGCAATTATCCACTTGCATCATTTTTTAATGGAGTGGGGAAGTGCTTGAACATTGAGGAAGAAGAGAAAATAGAACATTCAGATATCTCTGACGTGCACTTATTGTTAGATCCAAAGCCAATTCCATTCAGATCATATATTCCTCATGCAGTATCTGTTGTTCCCCTGGATTATCGTATACCTACGCTATCAATAAGTTAATCGTGTGTTTATAATTATCCATTGGCGGCGGCTGGTTCACTGTTTTTCATGAGTTTTTTTTTTTATTTTGTGAGTGGACTCACGTGATTTAAGGAAGATTTGTTGGTAAGAGAAGTCAGTTGGAAGGCGCAGGAAGGCCTCAGATGGTGACGAACACAAAGCACAGACAGAGAAGAAGCATGTCAGAGAGTCCAGCCAGTGCTGGTGCCAGTGGGGCTGATGCTGTACCTGCGAGAGATATTACAAGACCATTCACAAGCCCCCCATTTTTTATTTTTCACGAGGGGCCACTCAATCACTTGATTGCTAATCCAGAAATAATTATCAGATATCACTGGGGATCCGATAATTAATCCTACATCAACTCAGAAATTCTTAAACTCTGGCAATTCTACCGAGGGTCATAAAATTCAAAAAATGATAGAAATTTCGTGTGAATTTAATTTTTTATTAAGACGAAAATTTTTTGGACTATTCGTCAAATGGTTGATTGTAATTTCTATGAAGACTGTGGGGTGTTAACAAATTTAAGATTATGACTCTGATTATATGATTGAAATGGAGGGAGTAGTGAAATTATATGACCAGCCCCTCGATTTGATTTTTAATTAAACGATCGACGGAGTTCTGCAGTGTCTCAGGGTTTTATCAATGTTGTTTGATCTTTTGGTTTTTTATTCCCCGAAGGAGATACATGCTTCGTGCAGTACATGGGGACTAGACATTTAGTGGAGGCATCGGTCTGTCTCAATATGCTGATGGCTTTTTTATTCCGGCAGTTGAAGTCTTCCCTGTACTAAATCTCCCTCAAAAATTCCTGAAGAAAAATACACTGGGAATCTCTCAATAATCTATTCAAATTGATAATAATATCTGGATTATTTTTGCTGGGAAATAAAGTCCTGGGGAAGTCCTCCTAGAACCTTCGAATGGTCGTACCGAACGAGACATGTATTTCGGAGTCGATTGTCATGCAATTGACGATAGATACCGAGAATATTGAGATTTATCAGACAAAGGACACGATAATAAATAGTGGGTGTATGAAAAAGGGACACATATGCCCGTGATAATGCTAGACACAGCAGAGACAGTAAAATAGTTTGTGAGGACAACAGCGAGATAACAAAAAGAAATGATATTTGTTGATATGAATTTTTAATGAGTTTGTCAATTGCCTTAATTTATGTTTTCTTTCACATTATTTTCATGACTCACAGTTGTCCTCGTCGGACCCGTCTTCGGGGCCGCAGTTATCGATATTATTGCAACGAAGTGTTTCGGCAATGCAGTATTTGCTCTTTCCACAATGAAATTCATCGGGCTCGCATTCAGATGCGAGTGAAACTTCTGTCCAGACAGCGCGAAAACCTAGTTGACCCACTGCCTTGTCGGACGATATAAAACTGGAATGAAAATTGTCAAAGGATAATCATCGGCATTCAATGAACATGAGTAAATCCATTGAGTAAGTTACCTGAGACGCATGTTATTGTCATCTGACATGTAGCTCCAACTGACTTCCGTGGGTTTTCCACCACAGAGTTCGATCGGAGGTGATGCCAGAGAAAACCACATGCGTAAAACAGCCGCTGGACAGCCTCTCGCTGGAAATAAATTCAATTTTTATAATATTACCAGAAAATTTCACGTGCAGTGAAATTTGTAACGCAATTTTTGAGAATTACACTTGAAATCGAAAAGTTCCTTGAATTTTTCGTCAATGCAATTCCATTTTATTATGATTGATTTAGTAATAATAATAATCTCAATATTCATTGTTAATAAATATATAATAGATAATAACAAATAATCAAATTGAATAATTTTACCTGACTGCTCTCCCTCGACAGAAAACAATTCAAAATTGAGTAATATCCTGTGATTGGGACGTACACTGATGAACCAATTGCACGTTTTACTCGCCATGTATTTCGGTGGGCCGTCGTATTTCTCCGGAAAATTCGGGCTCGTTATCAATCCATACTCGAGACTACTGATATTAGCACCACAGTCTGAAAAATGAGGGATTTATTTGAAAAGTACTGAGTGAATGAATTTGTACGGAATTCGGTTTTACCTCCGAATATGGATTTGGTAACTTCGAAGGTGTAACGCGCCTTGAATCCACTGTAAACGAGTTCTGAATCCGAATGGAGAATAACTTTGAGCCCGAGAGCACCAAGATTCGATTCCACTGGACCTGGCGCTGTCATCCAGCAATAACGCCCGATCAATTTCTCAGTGTTATCCCGGTACATGTTGTAGATCTCCAGCCAATCGTCCTGACACTCCTCAGCTCTGACGATAAAAATAATCAATTGTCTGAATAAATCATCACGATAAAAAATCATTTCGATCCAGTGATAATTAATAAACCATCGAATTACCCATAATGTCCAACAGTTAAATTAATATTCCTCGTTCGAACTTTGAAGTGATCAAAGACGAGTGTAACTTGTTCGTTGGGCGTTGCGACAAATAGATAAGTGCAATTGGTATCACTTGGATAATTGCTCGGATACCTGGGGGAATTGAATTCCCCCTTTTTCCGGGAAGAGCTCAGATACGTGAAGTTGCAACTGCCATCTGGGGCTGGAGTCCCAGGAATTTTGTATTCAGTTTCGAAGCTGTAGCTAAAAATCGCACACCACAAAATTAATCAATCAATTTATTGGAGTCTTATTAATTATTGGACTTTAATTACTCGATTCATACGTACTTGGCCTTGAAACCACGGCCCTGCTTGGACTCACCACTGCTGAATACCATAACGAGTCGCGGTCCATCACTAACTACTTGGCTCGGATTGCTTACATTACCGCACATCTCGTGATCGAATTTATCGTATGAGTCTGTCGCTTCCTGGCCTTTCAAGTAGATTTTCAAGTAACCGTCTGTACATGCTGAACTATAATTCCATGATAATCCATTAAATCCATTTACCTCTCTACCATCAAATCAAAATTATTATGAGATGTTCGCTTTGTTAATAAGATTGAATGGATAAATTATTGCTTATATGTATAGGTAAAGGGGATGTTTGGGGATGAATTATTTGGAAGAACTCACTCTCCTTTGGTTTCTCCTTTTGTAATGTCGAAGGCCTGAAATTCGAGCCGGACACGTTCGAGATGCTGAGAGTCCTGCATGCCATAGATGAAGTAACGACACACGACTTTCGGTATGTAAGGATAGGGGTAGTTGGGGCTGACAACGTGCCCCGAAGATTTCTTCATACTCAATATTTTCTGGTCGCACTCCGATCCTCGTATGTGCATTCCCCCCGAATTGTTTATGAAATCTGTCGGCATTACACCATCGAAAATCCTCATTTATTTATATTTCAGATCAATCAATTTATACCCTGAAGGTCGGTCTAGGATAATCGGAAGGAATTATTTTATTGTCAATGATTTAAAAAACCAATTGGGAGAGAGATTGAAATTTCATGGAAATGGATGCGTTTAATGAAAAATTTGGAGAGACACTTAATGAATATTTATAATTACCTAATTTAACGAAGCTCTCGGAGAACTCGAAAATGCCTTTGAACCCTCGATTTTGGGTGTTGGCGTTGCGCTGAAGGGTGACAAAAAGCACAGTGAGGTTGGCCTGTGATGAGTAGAGAACTAGATTACGTTGTTGACCGCAGTAAGTGCCAATGACAGGGGCTGATTTGTCGAGGCCATCGAACACCTTCACGTAATCAAAAGGGCAGCTGAAGAACAATTGTTACATTATCACCAGTGAATTTTACCAATTATTTGATGATATACGTACTGTGAGCCTCCGTAGAAGAGATCAAAGTCCCGGAACTCCAGTCTCACCCTCTGGCCAGGTTCACCCAGAAATTTGTAAGTGCACGCGAGATCTTTCGGGTATGTTCCAGGGTACGTTGGTGATAGGATTGTCCCAGTACGCTTGATGGTAGAATTCACCACGAAGGAGCATGGTGTACTCGGTGCTGGTGTACCAACTTCGTATTCAGCTAGACGCAATTCAAAAATCTCACCCCTCATGAATTTTTCAAAATATCTCCGAAAATAATGGAGATAATAAAATTTTCATTATCAAAGCTTTTGGAAAACTTATCGACAGCTACAAAAAAGGTCATCACTAAATTTTCCTCATCTCCCTTCGTTCTCGAGATATTTTCCAAAAACTCACCAAAAAAGTCATACATAAAACCAAACTTGACACATCGAGTTGCAATTGCAATTGCGTAATTGCTATTTAGGATTTCGCGATTGCATAAAGAGGGATGTGAAAATAGAAATTGATCTTCAGAGTAACTGACTATCTGAAAAGATTTTTTTCCAGTTGAGGTCTCATCGCATCTGAGTCGATCTAAAATTCCAAACTCTGGTAATTTTCCAATAGAATGTTAATCAATCCCGACGAGGCATGCCACTGTGCCTCTGAATAATTGAATTTTTCCCTGGTAAATGGCACAGCCATGCCGTTCGCAAATTGAGACAATCATAAATTCCATAAAAAATTCATAAACTCACAGGCATTGATGAAAGAGTAACGACCGCTGAAGAGAGTCGATTGTGTTATATTCTTATCGGTGAAGAAGCTGAGGGCAATCCCCTGATACAATGACACACGTCTTCTTGGTGGTATTGGGCCGCAATAACGACCACCAAATGGTGTCTCTATCAGCTTGGTAGCATTGTCTGAGCGTATCTCCGTGTATACATCCATGTACTCGTGAAAACATCTGTAAAAATTCATAACAAATGCATTAAAAATCCAATTATCCAATGCGAGAGGAACAATCGATTCATCTGGAATGTCTGCAATCAAATCTCATATCTCCTGAGATGTTTTTTATTTTTTTAATATTGAATAAAAACGTTCATTATATTCAAGTCTATTAACCAATGATCTGTTTAACTCATCTGACTCTGGTATTAATTATTCTGATTAAATCTAATAATCAGTCATCGATTTGTCAATAAAAATTTATTTATAGGTCATTGTTCTCTCAATCTATTTAATTTACGGATCCTTTATCTGCAGAAAATGACGCGAAGTGGAATTTTTCGGGGTGAAAAAATGAGAGTGAGTTGTAAATAATGAAATCCAATCTTCTTGTCTCTACATGCATTCAACACACAGAACGACATCAAAACGTATATCCAAAGGCACGCAATATATTCCATTACAGTATCTCTGGTTCCCCTGAATATTTCAATTTTCATTTCGATATTAAATTCAAATGTCTGGTGTTATTCCAGGGTAATGGAAGCTGGGGATGTGTATTAGGTGTGGGAATACTCGAATACTTACGCAGGTAATTCCCCAACAGCAGCTCCACTGAGAATTCATCCCAAGCAGCGAACACAAATCACATCACGTTTTTACGTTTTTTTTTTTGCCATTCTTGATGATTTTTCTTTTATTATTTATTTTTGTCGTCACTTTGCACATTTAATTGGCCGTTAAATCTACAAGCATCGAATCGAAAACGGAAACTGCGATTTTCGTTAAGAGAGAAAAAATTTTTCTGCAAATATTCATCTTGCGATGTTGAAGTATTAAATATTCTCTTCAGGGATTTCTGCGAGCTAGTCATTTCTAGGGAATCCACATTACGGGTCAATTATGATAATTATATTACTCTGGTATGACCTGGAGGCTATGATAATTGACGGTAAAAAATTAATGGGAAATTTTCTCTCAAGAAATCCAAAAGAATCGGAATTGTCTGGAAAATTATCACAATTGAAATGAATAATAATTTCCGGATAATTAATTGATGTTGAATAATTTGAAATAATGAATATTATATTTATATTTAAGATTATATTATTTGATATTTTAATGAATATTTGGAGTAATGCATTTTTTCTCAGCGCATGAACACGAAAGAATCATCACATAAATATTAAATTGTTGTAATTGACATGCGACATGTAAACTGAAACAAGTACTGGCAGGATAATGCACTCACTCTGGAGGAGTGCCTCGAAGACCAAAGGAAGTGAAAACGATCTCCACTCGTTGATGAGGAGCTGCCAGGAAGGTGTAGACGCACTGCTGGGATTCACCCTCTGGATTGATCAGAGTTGGTGCATGAAAGGTGCCATTCTGCGATCCACCAGGTTTACTGACGAATGTTTGGTCACACCCTGGACACAATCAACGGTATAAAATACCAGGATTCAACAGCATTTGAGACATAAATGAAAATTCAACGCCAAGATAAATCAGAACACTCGGAAATAAACAATCGCTAAGAAAAATTCTTTATGATTCTCTAGCTATCATCATCCGATGAGAAAAACAATTCCTAATTCAGGGGCTAGCAACTGTCGAGATTGCGAAGAAAATCAATGAATTCATTCAATTTTCTACAAGATAAATTTATCCTCTTGCAATTAAAAAGAAAATGTAATGATTTATTATCAAAACTGAATTTTTTATTCCCTCGAATTTCACAGCTGCAGACCCCTCATCCTTACACTGAAAAAAATAATTTATCCAACTGAATTCCCCGGGGATGAGGAACCCCAAGAATTCCAAATGTTTATAATCATTGAATTGAATTATTAGAATGTTTTTTAGGACAATTAATTTTTCCAGTGCAAGATTATTGTCGAGAGAGAATGGAAAAAGGCCAGTTATACTCACATTAACCGACGATATGTTTAAAAAAAATGTCAACTCGATAAATAAAAAATTATTGAATTGATTGGCAAACGTACTTGGTGTTTTGGCAGTGGTGATGGGTCCCGGTGGTGGTGGTGGTGGCGGTAGGGATGGTACGTAGTCTTGCTGTGGCAGTGGCACATCAATTACCTCGCGGCCTTTTCGTATTATAACAATAATCGTTAAACAATGATTAATCACACGCAGATTGTTGTCGAAGTTGGTGTAGTCAGAGTCGTGGGGAAGAGTCGTGTGTTAAAGCAGATAGAAGATGACCCCCAACCAACGTATGATTTTTGTCCACCCCCACCGGGAACACACCGCACCATTATCAATTAAAACACGCAATCCTCCATTAAATAATCTTAAATAATCTCAAATAATCTCAAATAATCTCAAACAATTTCAGATAATCTCAGATAATCTCAGACAATTTTAAATAACATCCAATTATTTGGATAAATTAAAAATCCTTCATCTATTTCAATTTTATTTTGCAATTCCACTCGCATTTTATGCACCAGAATTTTCTACTCGAATTGAGGAAAAAAAAATCAACAAAAAATCACTCGCTCTACCAATTCTCTGCTTTGATTACTAATTAGGTAGATTTTTTCGGGTGATAACTGACCTGCGATTGAGTGAGGGTAGAGCAACAACAGGATGATGATAACAGGTGAGACGAAACTACTCCCAGAGGCATGCCACAGTACCGAAGCCATACTGTGTCCTAAAAATACCATTAATATCGATAATCAGGCTCATTGACCTCGTTAATGAACAATAACCCCTGTCATACTCTGTGCTCCCCTCTACACCCCTTCAGCAATTATTACACCTGGAGAAATTGAGTTTAATGAATTTCAACGAGTGCCTCTTCCACTGCACTGGAAGAAATTATTTTACCATAATTTCCATCACCGCAAAAATTTCTTGAAATGAAGTTTTAAATTCCACCCAAAAATTCATGTTTAAATTATTTATCCATTTATTTATTTGTATAAATTATTGAGAATTTTAATTGTTTAGATTTTTATATAATTCTGAAAGAATCTGTGGAGAAGATATAATTTTGATTTTTGTATATTTTTTTGTATTTTTTTATTTTTCAGGGTGATAATTCAGAATATATTTTTGGGGAATGGAAATATTACCATATCGTCAGTGTCTGTTCCAGGTCCAGGAAGAACGAGGAAAGCTGTCGCGGGAAGTCATCTGAAATGTTGGAGAATAGTTCGATTGAGGTACGTCAATTCACGTGGTAAAAAATTGTTGAATGGGTAAATATCTCGAGTGTGTACACAATTTTCAGGGAAGTGCCTGCAAAGAGCCCTTTCGGTAACACCTGAGTCGTACGTCGTAGGTCGGGGGTGAATTATAGAGTGCCAAAACCCACCACGCCCTCGACCGGTTACACGCACGCCATCCCCTTTACCACCCACCAACCACCCACCCACCCCTTTCTCTTATTTTTATGCTACACTCACATATTTTATCCTCATATTCTCAGGTAAAGCACATGCTCACTGTAAACAACACTAAAAAAACATTCAGGAGAGTCCATTATTTTTTTGTGCCAATCGTTAATTCAATTTTTTATATTTTACCTCAACTTTTTATTTAATAATTCATGGGAAATGTTTATTGATTTTTTGTACGTAATTTATTGTCTCTCAAGTAATTGGTAAATGATTTTTTATTGACAACTTTAGCTGGCAGTTTTAATTCATGATTCTGAGAAAAAAAAAGTTGCAATTAAAATTCTAGTTTTTCTTTAAAAAATTATTTAGGTCACTCACATGTTTACGATTTCGCCGTCATATTCTCAAGTGGAGCACATGACGATGGGTAAACAAGGGAGAACGTACATTTAGGTGAGTCCATTATTTACTTGTAAATCCCATCCATTTAATTAATATTTCTAAAATTTTTGAAATCGAAATACTGTATCCCACATTTCCGCTTCCTTGATAATTTATATAAGTTGTTAATTAAAATTGTTATTAGAAAAAAAATGTTAATCCACCGAATATCAAATATTAATTCACTAACCATCGGTTTTATTAACAATAATAAATAAAGATTTGCGAAATAAAATAGGAAAATTATAAAATAAAGATGCAGTGATGACAAAGAGAGAAACTCTCGAGAGCAGAATAATTCGATAAGAACATAGATAATAGTATTGACTATTGGATATTTAATTAACAATCAAACAAAGAATGATTATAAAATAGCCACGCCCAGTGGAAAAACTAGCTCATAGATATATGTAGACGAAAGTGGACGATTCTCCCTCGGATCCTTTCCCCCAACATCCGATAAATATATTTTTACCCCTCAACTCTAGGAATTAACCGATCCCCAAAAATCGGCTTTATACATCCCCTAAAACATCTGCGATTGAATCCGACTAGAAAAATTACTCTCAAAATAAATATCCCCTCATCCAACAACAAATAAAAATATGGCCGATGCCGTGGCGCAATGAGCCGCGAATTCCCATCAATAATTAATTAAACAATCAATTATTTATCGAATTGTTGAACCGAATAAATCGCTCGAGACTGCGATAGGGTGGAAATTTTTTTTTTCAAACTAATTCAATAATTTCTAGGGAAATCGCGGGGGAAAATTGTTATTGCAAATTCTGCGGTGCAGTTTATAATTAAGTAAATGGGATTTATTTTTTTTTTCGCGCAATGAATATTGAAATAAAAACAGTGGAAATGGTACGTGCGGTGTGAGCCACAAAGGGCGGGGTAATAAGATCCGAACCGCGCCCATGCGCTTGGCAATACGGATATTGGTCAATAGTTACTCTCTTTTATCCAAAAGTCATTCAAAAAAAACATAATTTCCATTTAAATCCAAAGTACTAACTTCCACTTAAACCCAGCACCCTAGCACGTTAAAAAGTCACGAAAAAAACATTAAAAAACGCGTGTAAATTATATAAAAAATTGTTAAAAAATGTCAGTGTCGACAATTATCAAGTCTCCTATACTCGTACTCAACTTTTGTACTTATCCCTTCTCCCTTGCCCTCCACCCTTTGTAAATTCCAAATTCCGAATTTCCATCGAAAATAAAATGCAAACCACCTATTTTATTTATAAATTAAAAACGATTTTTGGAATTGTAGAGATTTTTTAAATTCGTTTATTGTCTAGGAAAGAGGAGTCTCGTGGATTTTGAGGTGTTTTTTTTTATTCGGGGCAATAAAAAATAGTGAATTTACCGTGAAACTGTGTTAGACATGTCTGTATCCCTTGGACATCCGTTGGCACATGCGTTCCCTCCAGTTACGAATGTTCCACCCGAGGCAAATGAACACGACAGATTCACCGACGTCCTCTCCGGGGATTAAATCTCATGACGTTTACGATGTGATTGATCTCTTCGATAAATTGAAGCTCGAGTGATCACCGATGACGAAGAGATTGTTGCGCACGCTCTAGTTCCCTTTGTCCCCTTCAAGTTGTTGTTGCATCCCTCGTTCCTGCGACCGGGGGTAAAATTTCCATGGATTTTAATCGATTCCTTACTTTTCTTGAACACGTTTTCTTTTTTATTATTTTTACTTGCCACCACGAGAACTAGGAATTTTCGGAGACGTCGGGGTGGCCTTCGCGAACGAGACGACTTTCCATGGACAACGAGTCCTCGGTTTTGTGGGGATGATGTCGAGGGCGAGTTTTCGTCGGGGGTGGGTGGGGGTGGGCCTGCGCAGTCAGGGCAACCCCCCCAACCCCATTTCACGGGGTGGCGACTGCAGAGGTCGCGGGGGAATGCGGGCTTTTTTTTTATCCGTCGAAAATACAAGATTTCCGGGTGATAAATCAAATTTTAAGGATTTATAATGAAATTGTTGCAATTTTACTACGCTAATATATTCCATTCTCTATTTTTTTCTCTTTCAATATTTCAATTTTAATTATTGTTATGTATTTAAATAAACATGTGAAATTCTCGGGAATTGAGGGAAATGAGGGAATGAGGATTGAATAATAATTCAATAATTTGCAAAAGGTCAATTCACATACAACTGTTTATTGAGACATGTAGAATACAACTTGGTTCATACACAAAATCTTTGACAAGTTTTTTTTTTAATTCTCATCGTTTACTTTTTCAGTAATTCTTCCTCGGATATTTTTTCATCTCCGTGTTAATCTAGCTACTAGCCGGGGGTGGGTAAAATTTCATTGACAAGATTATAAAAAATTTAGTCATTAAGGAGAAAATCGTTAACGCGGAATTTTTTCACAATCACTTCGTCCCTCAACATAATTTTGCATCGCCGTTCATCCTCTCTTCATCGGTGAAAAACTCTTTTAATTACGTGATTCAATTAGAGACAAAACAAAAAAAAGAAATTAGAGGCGAAACGTAGTGAGAAATGAGAAGCGAAGCAACCGGTGAATTAATGAAAAATAAATTCCAAGCCGGAGACAAAAAAAAAACAAATTTCACTCACTCGGAGATAAAAAATATTTTCGCGTGCATTTGAATTTGGATCTCAACAAAATTTCAGAGTAAAGCCATTTAACTCCACCGTCTAACTGCTAAAACATAACATCACGTTTTTTATCTTCACAAATGAATGCATACTCGCAGGAATATAATATATAATATATTTAATATAGAATTAAAAAAAGAACACTTGGTTTCACTCTTCCCAATCATTTACCGGCACGATATACCACTGGGGCCGGAGACGGTAAAATTAAACCCGTGACAATTGTCCCGGCCCAACATATCTCTCCCGCAAATAAATTTCAATTAAATTCTCCCAAGATTCTCTCAGACTGCAATGAGAGAATGAATAAATCTCCAGAAAATAATGAAATATGGGAAAGAAAATGTTTTGCCATCTGCCATGGTCAACTCAACAGTGAAAATAAAAATGATAAAAAAATGTATGAGTAAGGGAAAAAAACAAACCACTAGTTAGGAAGGTAAAAAGGGCGGGCGGTAAGGGGCATTGCCAGCCACAGGTGCATTATCCTAAGTGCGACCCTTAACCCTCGTCCTCTCAAAACGTAGTTAATGTAGCTCAGGAATTCATTTGGCGACTCGAAAGTTCGGGCTACACGACCATTTGGAAACTACGCAATGGTAGAAAGAGGATTAACCCGCGTCGGGCGCCCCGATTGTCCAGGTTGTAATTATAAAGGATTTATCAAAAATTGGGGAATGGGGTAGAAAGAATGATGAGAAAAAATTCACCCCGAGGAATTCCACAGAGAAGTCTGGAATTTATTTCAGTACATCTCGGGTACAACTTCGTCTTCAGTCAATATCTCGGAATCCAGGGGGGATAACGAAATTTTTATCATTACCTTTTTTGGAGAGATCATTCAGAGCTACAAAAAAGGTAATTATGAAAATTTTGGTACGTCCTCTAGATTTGGAGATAAATTCGATGAATTGAAGAGTGAGTGAGTGGGGGCAAGTGTCAAAATGAAGTTTGTCAGTTTCGAGGGTGGTTTTTGGTGGATATCTCGGGAGTTAGGGCGGTTAGCGAAATTTTTTATAGGACCTTTTTCGGAGGGGTTGTTGAGAGCTTGAAAAAAGGTTATTACGGAAATAGCGGTATCTCCGGTGGGTGAGGAGATATTTGACGGGTTGTATGGAATTTTTTCGCACGTGAATTTTTTCTGGATGTAAAATTCTTCCTTGGGCGACACAGAGGGGCGCCCACACAGTGGAAAATAATGATCAATTATCATAAGGCTATGTACCTAGATCAGTCTAAAGTCTCGTCACCGTGAACTGCCTCAGCCACTTTGCCACTCGTACTTCCTTGCCCCCGCAAGCCGAACAGTCGAAATTTAGGTATTTTAATGGATTAATCCAAATTCTGAATTTGCCTTCTATCGAATAAAATTTTGCATTTATTATTATTTCTTTGAATTTTTAGTTTTCTCATTACAATAGCCCTCGACAAAAAATTGAAGATTTTGCATTCATCATTTTCGTTTGAATTTAAATTCTCAGTTTTTCCCTTTTATGCAAATTAATCCCTTATATGTTTTTGTTACCTTAATTTACCACAGGTATTTTTCCCTCGCATTGATCTTTTTTTTTTTCATTTTAGTATTCTTTTTTATACGGAAATATTTATCAAGTTCACAAAAACCCACTCAGTAATTGATTAGCAATAGCATCCTTATTATATTGTTAATATTAATATTATATCCTCGATATTATGCTTTTATAAATAGGGTAGAGGGATTTTAAGGATTAAAAAGTTGAAAAAATAAAGGATTATTGGGGGGTGGGGAAGGGGAGGAGCAGGCTAAGGATTTGGGATTATTTCTCTCGGATTATATAAGCTGATTAAATGTTAATGAAATAAGAGAAAATAATAAAGAAGACATTTTCCACGAAAAAAAAATTACAGATCTTGTACATTGATTATTGAAAAAAAAAACTTGAAGACAAATAATAATTAATAAGGCAGAGACGCAGGGGATATCATATGATTTTTCCATTTCTTCTTTGCGGGGGATTATTAATTCAATTATTAAAACTAGATGCGATCTAACCCCCTTCCATATTCACCACCATCTTTTCATCCTCGATCGGCTTTTCTTTTTTGCTACAAAGTAAACGAATAATCGCGGTTGGGGGTATAAACAAGATTAGAGTTAAGTAAAACATGAATAAAAAGTAACAAAAAAAAATGCTCATAAATAGGAGGGTTTGCGAGCGTTCGATCTTTCATATCATATTTTTAATCCAGACATTTTTAATCAATTGATTGTTAACTATATTTCTTCGTATGTATAGATATCGAATTAATCATCTCTGTCTCACGATGCAAGCCCTAATGTCGCGATTCTTTCCTTCCATTGGATTTTTTCTCATATTCTTTTATTCAATTAATCGTGACCGATTATTTTCCTCATTACAACAAAAATTCTTTGCTCACTTGTCAATTGTGCAGAGTCAATTACAGATCGTGGTGTCTGATTTTATCGGCGGCATTCGATATTTTCTCCTTTTTTTTCAATAGTTTTTGCGCCCTTTTAAATTTTTTTTTGTGATTTTTACTTTTATTTATTATTATTCTTTTGTTTTATAAAGTCCAGTGAAAAGGGAGGCTTCGAGGTTTTTCATATAAATCTGAGGTGCTAAGTTTAGTCTGTGACAAAACAATGTCTTCAGCATTTCGTACGATTGTCAGCTATTTCAACTCCATTTAGTTCTCGTTATCTTATTGTTTTGGATTATTTTTTCTTTCAGTGGGTGCGCGTGTGTTGCATACGTAAAACGTCTACATTTTTTTTTCCTACAGTTTAAAACCGTTAGTTTTTGTCAATTTTTTTTTCAATATATCCATTAGTGATTATTAATGATTTCTCCTCGTCAGAAAGAAAAAAAGAATTCATTCATCTCGTTATACTTTGCAATTAATATTTTTAGATATTTTTCTTGTTAATTTGCTTTCTTCCATTTGAATTATTTAAATCTCCAGAACAGGGGGGATGTCTGGGCTCCAGGGACAGGGACCAACTTACAACCCGCACTTACAACTCTTACTAATTAACTAACAGGCTAACAATAACAACGAGTCTCAACACTCAAAAAGTCGTGTGCTTGTATGTGTTACTCTCTCACTTTCTTTTTTTTCTTCTTTTTTTTTACCCCACTTTTTATCGTTTACCCCATTGTTTTTTCACATGCATTAATCCGGTGTATGATCTACTGCGTAATCATAATGATTTCAAAATTTTTCAATTTTAATCATTCGAATCTGTCAACTATCATTATCAATTCGGCAGCCAGTCGAGTTGGATTATTTTTATTCTTTCCCCAATATATGATGAAAATAAAAAAAGCATCGAAAGCGCAATAGTCACGCAATTTCGAAAAATTATCTCACATCTACCAAAATTTCATATCTCACCTCCATTTTTTTTTATTTATCCTAGTCCAATCGATTACTGGAGGGAGAGTATAAATAGCATTTTGTAGAAAAATGCAGTAAAGAAAATACAGTTATAGAATTTAGATACGAGTTATCGATAATTTTCTTTCATAATTCAATTGAATTAATCGAATGATTTTCTCTAATATACAAAATCGGTATCCTCGTCGGATAGTTCACATTTTTCTCTCTTCCTTTGCCATTAATTTAGTCTCATAACATGAGCAATATTAAGTCTTAATCTCGAACCCCAATTCGATCACAATTTTCTCATCGACTCGACACTCGATCGAATCGACGATTAGAACTCAGCCAAAAAAAAAAGAAAAAAAAATGGAAAATTTTCAAAGAACACCATCAACTCAGACGGCGAATTGATTTTTCGCCCGGATTAAACCTTCTTGCCTGACCCTTAATAATAATAGTTTCACTGACTGTACACATTATAGACCAACAATAGAAAGTCTAGGCGGCGATAATCGCCCTCTTACCAATCCTCACGCATACATGAACACACAGGAGGATGCACACATCTGATTTTATTAATTCCTTAACTCATAATCAATTTTTTTTTCCCTTTTTCAAGATTATTTTCCAGCCTAAAGTTCTAAAAACCCTCAAAATTTTTCCAGCCCCAATTACCGATTACATTTCCACTCACACTCTTATAAATTTCAAAAGCTCTTCTTCCATACGCCACACGCATCCGTAAACACTCCCATCGTTTAAAAAAAAAAAGAATCTCAGTCCTCATCAACCTCATCAACCAGCCACTTATCCATGCTACGAGTAGTCTTTTCGTTTCTTATTTTTATTATTCTTTTTAGTAATGAAAGAAAAAAAAATAATGAAACAATGAAAGAGAAGTAAAGAAAAACGTTTCAAACAGTGAAAAAAAAAAATCTACTCGAACGACATCACTTACAACCACAGGCTGTCACGCTGTCATTAACCACTTAACTAAATACGAGCCATCACAAAGTTCCAAACATAATTTTCAACGTCAATTTTTTCCTAATTCTCTTCAAACTAATATAATAATAATAATAAACATTTTTTTAGTTGTTTTTAAATTTTTTTTCCCTTTAACTTGCAAGCCCTCTAAATTTTTATCTCAATAATTTCATCACTTCGCTCGTATAGCCCTATCATTTTAATCGTCGTTCCATCATCCTAAAAATCACTCTCTCTCCCTTGGCAGTAAACAATGTGACAATGCAGTAGTGGTTAAACCTTAACGATATACGATATTACAATTAACATTATCAATTAATAGTACGGGGTGGATGGGTGGTCACTCCGATGTAATAATAACTAGTCCCAGTGGCACATCACTGTACATTTCATCATTAAAATCACAACATTTTTTTTTCTTTATAATCGGCGCGACGCGAATGACGGTGGTGTGGTGTGTGGTGTGGTTATGGTATAGTGATGATTACAATTGAACAAATCATTGATATAAAAAAGAGAAAGAAAAAAAAAATCATCCCTCCGCGTCGGCATTTATCCCCTAAATACAACGGTTCACTTTAAATTCATCCGTCTGTTACATTGAGTGTTGGAAAATCTACATTTACAATTATTACACGCTGAGTTCGGTGATGACTTTAGCCGATAACATTGAACTCCCGGCAATTGAGCTTTTTGTCGAAAAATGAGGCCCTCGTTACTCTTGCTTTGCCTTTTATCTTTATTCATCTGAATTTTCGTGGTATCGAGGATTTAGTTATCTCGGTTTTTGAATTTATTGTAATAGTTAATCGAATTGCATGACGTTATCAGACGGAAGTTAGCTCCACGAGTTGTATGAGTCCTGGTACCACTCGTGCTCATCGCCAGCAGTGGCACCGGTTGTTCTATCGACAAAACCAACACCACCGCCACCGATACCGCTACCAGTGCCACCACCACTGCCACCACCACCACCACCGCCACCGTTAACATTCGCTAATCCGTACGTATTGCCCAGCGGTTGTTGGGCGAGGGGCTGGTTTCCCCAGCTGCTCTGGAAGCGACGTTTAGATTCCCCCTGGTTCTGGTGACCCCCGTCAAATTTTCGCTTACCTGCTGTAAATTTCAATATTCACACAATAAAATCACCAACAAATCTATTTAAATCAAAAAATTATTACACATTATCTAAAACTATCACGACTATTCAATATGAGAACTTCAAGTTCTTTTCTTTACCTTGTCTTTATCATGTAATTCATTGATCAAGTATCGAAAACAATTTCTCGTTGAATAGTCGTATGAGGAACTTAATAAATAATAAATAGTTAATAACGTGACTGGCTTTTGACTTGGAGAGGATAGTGCACCTGGAATGGGAATGGAATGGAAGTCGGCGGAGAAGCTGGAAGCGATAAAGGATCTAGCAATGGATAAACGCCTCATCAACGAATTACAAGTGATTAATTCAGTAGCGAAATGTTGCAACGACGGAATTCGATTTATTTCAGAATCCAAGAGAGATAGCGAAATTCGTTCGGTAACCTTTTCTGTAGATCTCGATTCGCTCTACAAAAATTGTTATAACAAAAATTTCGACAGCTTCTCAAGTTCCGGAGATATCTCCGAAATTTACTGCAGAGTCGAGAATTGACTTTACATCCTTCTCATTTATTTATTCATTAATTTATTTATTTATTGATTTGCATGAGTGATGTGACACTTCGGTACTGAATTGCGGTACCCTGGGAAAAATATATTTCACCCCAGAAAAATATCAGAGATTTTTTAACAGGGGAAATAATTTTTCAGAGGGTGAATAAATAATAATGGAAATAAAATGATATATATTGCATTTTGATACAGACCATCCTCACCTGGTAAACTTCCCTTGGCGCGGACCCCCCCACGAACGGCTGGCCGCTGGGCCCCACGGGCCCCGGATGTTGCGGGGTTGCGTCCCCCCCTGACTGGGCCACGGGCTTGGGGGCCACCGACTACTCGGCCACGGGCCACCAGTCCACGGCCACGACCAGCCTAGCCAAACAACACACACCCAAATGTTACCCCATCTCCAGCTTCTTTTCAATTACTCTTAAATCTCCTATTTTTTCTCATCCTCGTCACTTCATCTCCCGACAATTATCATCACGAGAAAAAAAAATTGCTCATCCATTTCCACTTTTACTATACCTTTAACTATTTAATTTTAATTCAGTTATTCGGCTCCATGGAATCCCCATTAGAAGCTAATTGCAACATTAATTAATTATAGTGTCCCAGATGATGATTACAATAATTGTGTTGAATGATTTTTTTTTATTGACAGAAATTGAATGAAATGAGTTAGATGTTATTATTTAATTAAAATTGTAGAAAATTGTTAATTCGTCGTTGTTTATTAAACACGAAAAAGGAATATTACGAAATCATCTTCTGGAGCAATTATCATAATTAAAGCCTAATCACAATGGCCTGAGAATTCCCGGGTGAAAAAACCGATTTTTATAAATCAACCAAAAAAAAAATATCAAATAAATGGATATATGTCAGAGCACAATTTTTTTCTCATTGCAAAAACTTGATTTAAAATTCTACAACCGAACGAACAGTCACGATCTCATTGATATTTTTTTCTGCAAGTTTGACACGTCTGACACAACATGAAACATCTACTCTTCACTGTGAAATTTCGATAGAGTGAAAAAGGTTCTTGGTGCGACCCATAAGCTGACACTTGTGAGGCGAAAAAAAAAATTAAAAAACTATAAAAATGATAAGAGCACAGAGCAGTGGAGAGTGCAGCGATAGGCGATAGGCAATTATCACAAGGAGTATAAAAAAAAAACAACTTACTAACCGAATCGTGTTATTAACAACATTTTGCGCTTTTCGATTCGATAGAATTTTATGCAATTACAGCAGCAGGATGGGTTAGCACAGGTTATCCAGCGTGTGGTGATAAAGCGGTTTTTTTATCGTATTTACGTTCTTGGGATTTTGTTAAGCAACACAACTTACTGGCAGCTAAAACAAAAGGAAGCATTAACAAAAAAAAACACAAAAGCATTAAAAATAATAATAAGCAGGACTGAGTGCGCAAAAAAGCGTGAATTACTGCCGAAGCAAGCGAGAGATCATCGTGTGATTTTCTCTGATATCTGGAGTTAAATACTCTCTTTTTTCTTCAACATTATGTACATTTTCAATCCAGTCTCATTCCCATTTCGGCGCATCCTCTCCTAATTAGGGTACCTGGTTAATTATTTGAAAATATTTCGGTTAGTACATGGGATTATGATCAGCGTGAACTTCCGGTTCCTGAAATTATTGGACAACTTTTCCCTCGTCTCACATTATTTTTGCGCAATGTGTTATTTCAACTTGGGAAATGTTCTCCGAATTGTTTAATTGTCGATAGTTAGTGGAGGAAAGACAAATGCAGGGGTGAAGCACTGGGTAATTAGTCCTCATCCAACTTCTCCGGGGATCACCTGAAACTCGATAGAATGACAGCGAAAGAGTCAAGGGTACGAGGAAACTAAAATGTTGGAAGACAGTTATCATATCCGAGCCACGAGACTTGACTTCATTTTTTTTTATCGTGCGGAATTCAACGAGAGAGTTAATTTATTCGTTGTGAATGTTAGAAGGGCTCAAGCGGTTTCGAGATGGTGTGCTACATTTAAGAATTACCTCTTAACTAGCATTTTATTGGATTCTATCCAAAATTTCAATAAAAAAATAAACAATCTGTGAGTTTGATAGATTCCGCGATATTTCAATCAAGGGACTGGTAAATCTAAATATTTAAAATGTCTAAAAATATTTCAAATCATTCTCACAGAGCACAATTAAATGATAAAACTGATAAGTCTTGAATCAATATTTGGGTTGAATTTTTATGAAGAGAAAATTTCTATCTAAAAAATGAGAAAAAAAATGGTAATTGTTGGAAATTGGAGGGGTGAAATTGTTGTCGGTGAAATCGATGATAGAATAATGCAAATCATTTTGTAAATGATTGTGTCACTGAGAATTAGAGATACAGGCCCCTTGTATTTTAGTACAGTGATGTCTTGAAAAAGCAAAACATTAATTAGCACACACCAGGGAGGGAAAGGAATTATTTAAAATTGTTCTTAAATGAAGGACAAGTGAGGATTAGACACCTGAATTTGGAGATCACTATCAATCATTTCGTTAATTAGAGGTTTATGAATTTTTTTTGTTTTCCTTTCTTCCGTTTTGGCGCCGTTATCTTTTCACCCTTTTTTTTCCTTAACTTTTCCCGGCAACTGCACCGGCATTAATCACCAGATAAATTTTGAAGTGGGTCTATGGCTCAGATATGATTAGCGCGGAGAATCTGAAAGTGGCAGTGTTCGAGGTTTCCGAGTTGTTGGAAGAGTCTTGGCAAACATATAATTTATTTAGCTACGTGATAAGTTAGTTAATTTCATAGGGTGGGATTATTTTAAATAAAAACTTGTCTCCTCCGTTCATCCCCTCAGTAGATTTATTTCACACGATCTACTCGAAAACAATTGCATCACCACTCGAGACAACGTGTAATCACAGTAATTTGGCAATTGAAGTCAACATTTTGGGAATTTTCAGCGATTGTATTGAACTCCTGATGCTAACCGAATATCGAAAAATTCCGAATTTCATTGACTTAAACTCCAAACATCTGCACAAAATTTCCACCACAAAAAAATGTTAAAAGCTGGAAATTGCAGACTCAAAGCCGTGAATAATGAAATACACAATGTGCCGTAGGTGTGCGTTGCAAAATTGGCATTTGGAAAGTAAAATGATTAAAGTAATGGGGGGGAAACATATCAACAATCCCTTGCGTCTTGTTAGTCAGCACAAATTGAGTAATTAGCAAATTTTTGTGTTAAACGCGATTCAACAGGCTGTGAGTGACAGATAGTGAATGAAAAAATAAACGAAAAAAAAAAAAGGTAAACATCTTGGACGCACGAAGAAAGGAATCCGCGAACACTGTGCCACAATCAAACTACCGCCTACGAAAATATCAATTTAGATGTAAAAAAAAATTGTGATAATTCATGAAAAATTGTAAATCATGACAGTCTCAATTGAATCTAAGATATAAATAATGCAATAATTTTTGATTGAATTTTTCTTTCGAATTAATTGTTGTTAAAAAAGGCGACCCACCGGTTGCGGCTGCCTGCCTCTCCCTCTGGCAGGCGGCGGAGGCGGCGCATAATCGAAATAGTAATCTTCGTATCGATAATAGTCATCATAATATGGATCACTGTAGCCACCTCGATAATCCCCATAACCGTAATAGTCGTAATCATAATCTATAAAAACACACATTACAAGTAGACCCAGAGGAATTTGTTATCTCTCTATTGTTTTTTCCACTCAGCCACGACTTTCAAAACAGTTAAAACTTTAATAAGAATGAGAAAAAAACAGAAATATTAATATTTCTCCCGCACTAAATGAAAAATATGATAACTTCATTGTCAATCTATTATAATGAGTTTGCATGCCGGGAAAAGATGTAATTTTTTTGGTTTATTCTTATCGAAATAAACGAGAGACTGTTCGTCGACGATTCTTAATGTCCATTTGGATAATTGCAATGAATTTTGTTATTGAGGGAAAATTTTTTACAGTATTGCCCCACCACCATTAATTTCAACAATTCAACGACAATAATTGGTTGAAATTGAGAGGATTAATGAACGTCGAGCACTCGTACTCTCGTTTTCCATTGAAATAATAAATAATTAAATGGTAATAAATATTTGATAAGGGTATCTCCTGATTGAAACGTAGGAGCACTTGCGGAAGAAAGGCTTATATAAAAGTGATGGAAGTAAAACAAATTGTAAATGTAAAATAATAATCTAATAATACTTGAACTGTTATCGATGCATTCGTCAATCAATGATTTCCGCTTACCTATTTCCTTGATGGCTGTAAAATAGATTTTATTTTTTGCAATGATTCATTATAGACGAATTCTCTACTAGGGCTCAAACGAAAATCAACAAAAAAATTTCACTAATTAACAACATGAACTCGGATTTTTGAGGATTTTATGTACTTGATGGGAGAACATCAAGAGGAGGGTAAAACGGTACTCATGCAATTGTTTATATTAATGGGATGGGAGTGGTGGAGGGATATTTGTGACGATGTGTTTCTGTTATTCAAACAATTACGTCAATTCTCAATGCACACCAAAACTAAATAGGACTGCGTTAGTTCAATTGCTGCTTATTTTTTATATTTGATTTTGAAAAAATCTGGATGATACCATGATAATTAGCACGGTAATAATGACCGTACGGTTCATTCAAAAATTTCAGTGATGTCCTAAATTTTCACACTTTGTCAATATATATATCAGATTTATGATAAAATAAACGTTGCCTGTCATGCGCGAAAGCCAAAGATTTATAAGTGAGAATGAGTGAAATGTCCCAAGTGCATGCAGGGATTTCGGTGTTGAGTAATTTAACTAAAAACAATGAAAATCAGATTCTGATGGATTAATATGATTTTTCAATTGAACTTGCTCCCACCAAATTAATGAAGTATTTTTATAACTTTGATGGATTCAATGGTGAGATTTACCGAAAATAATAAACGTTTCTCTTTTTTGAATTATGAAAATCATTGAATAAAATGGAATCGAAGGTTTTATGTGACTTTTACTAAAATGATCTGACACGAATATCGAGAGAAATGCAGTACTCACTGTAGTCCCCACGGCCCATCGGTGGTCTCATTCCAGTTCCAGTTCCACGTGGACCTTGGCTACCAGATCCACGAACTGGCATGGGTCCTCCAATCATACTGGGATGTGACGGAGAGCCCCTAGAACAAAATTTCACAATTCACTTTATTCACTTCATCTAAATAATCGCCTCTCTAAATAACACCGCGTAAAAATACTGCATCACAATATCATATTTTTAAATATTATGATGAAAATTATAGAGTGAGAAAAAAAAAATAATCACAAAATGGGAGGAGATGATTTTTGGGAAAATTCTTACCCGCCACGTCCTTGCAGCATTTGCATCATTCTCCGTTCCCTGGCCCTCAGCATATCTTCCTTCTTCTTCTTATCAAACGGGGGCTTCGCAAGGGCCACCTCTATGTGTGAGCCGCCAATTTCTTTGCCATTAAGTTCACGCATTGCCTGAGAAATGAAGAATAAAAAATTATAATGCAATGTATAAACTAATCTTATAAATCGAGGATTATTTTAAGATAAATTACCTTGACTGCACAGTCTCTGTCTTCAAAATGTACAAATGCATAATCCTTGATCTTCTTCACCCTATCGATTTTTCCATACTGCTCAAAACACTCCTTCAGTTTTTCCTCCGAGCAATCTTGGGTCAAATTTCTTACGTAGAGAACTCGAACCTGAATGAATATGACATTTGTATAAAGTAAAAAATATAATTATTCAATCTATCCAATTATATATTATATATCGAGAACTACCGATCGCAGGTGAAAAAGTGAAATAAATTTTTATTACTGTTTGGGATCGAAATTAATGGGAATGAGGGATTGAAATGAGCGTACTTTAGCCATAGTCTGTTCATCAGGTTCCTCCTGGGGATCAGCCCAGTCAACTATGATATCACAGCCCCAGACCTTGATACGACCTGTGCTGAGTCTTCTTTTCGCCAGTGATGCTGCCTTGTGGGACTCATACTCGAGAAAACAGAATCCCCTGTTCTTTTTCTTGTCATCCGGCGAGCTGTAGATAATCACCTCGGTCAGGCCAGCTATTTTAAAAAATAATAAACAAAATCAAGTCAAGCCGATTGTCCAATGATTATTTAAAAAATAAAAAGTCGCCCCCATTGTAATTTCAACCACCGATTAAAATCACTTCGACATTGAAAAGAAATTGAAATTAAAACAGAATATTTTTATTCAACTCTATTTTACCCCATCACCCCGATAATTAATCAAGGACTCGAGCAACAATTGAAACAATTACCCGGTTGAATAAATAGTGTAATTATCCCGTCAGTGTCAGAGAAGACCACGAGTCGACAAGTAGAAACGAATAGCCCATAAAATCAACGCAGCTAGTGAATAATAATTAATACCATTGGAGTAAATCGAAGGGGTGAATTAATTCGATGACTGTCTTTTAATGATTTTACCGGATTTTTCATTCATCAAGTGCTATTATCGTTTCAACCCACTCAATTCGCTTCTCCTCGTGGACTTGATATCTTAAATGTAGATATTATTCACCTCTCTTTCCTCTCAGTTTAAAAGCTATTCCGACAAAACGTGACTCTTTATCCTTCATGTTGTATTTCCCTTATTCACCAAGTGCAACGGCATTCAATTTACATATCGTCATCAATATTGGATGAATAAAACGAGAAATACAATGTGGCTTTGAATGTATGAAATAATAAAGATGAACGAAAAAAAAAAAACGAATAGAGGGCAGGAGGAAATAAAAATCCAACAAGCGACGTTCCCTCTCGATGAATCAACCAAAATGATTACAAGTAAATGATTACAAGAAATACCCACGTATCCCAAATCATTTTCTCTACGCAATGCAACCAGATATTATCATCAAACAGACCTCAAATTAACGTTAATTAACACACAGTGCACACTCCATTGTAAGAGTACCAGAAATAAAAGAGAAATTGTAAAAATATAATGAGTAAATTGGATAGAACGAAAAAAGTGACGTTTACGTTAACTAATAACGAACGGCCTCTCTGTGTCCAGACTCTGAGAGTTTCCATGCAAAAGAATGAATTACGAATAAATACAATTACGCCCTTAATTTATCGCGAATAACACAGCAAATGGAATAAATAAAAAATCCTGAGATTTTCCATTCTACTCCCCCACATAAGAAAATTTGAAAATAATAAATAAATAAATAACAGAAATAATCACACACCCAAGCAGTCGCATTCCTCAATGATTTTAATGAAATATAAAATGAAACAGAGGGTGTAGAATAGTAAATACTGCATTAAGCGTGTTCTGAAAATTGAAACTCAACTAGTGTAGGCACCAATTTCATAAAATTATATTATAAATAATACTGAAATACGAGAAGTTCAACCGATCTCGTATTGTGACTAAATGAAATAATTGATTAAATAAAAAATGTGAGGGCTGCGTGTTCCCTGTCGTCCCTTGCACTCGCTCATTCATTCCACAATCTTTCACTTCCTCTCACGAGGAAAAATCTTCTCCATAAAAATTAACAGTAAAATGAATAAAAAAAGGAAAAAAAAAACCAGAACTCTCCGGATTATAAACTCTCTGCCTGCAGATTTAAGGGCAATTGTCAACTTACGTGCGTGCTTTGTAAACTCTTCGAACAAGTCATCTCGGTCTCGATTCTTTGGAATATTTCCCACAAACAAGCGGTGATTGTTATAAGATACGGTAACACCAATCTTTTTGCCTTTCCGAATCTCATAATCATTCAGCTGTAAGAATAATGTGGAAGGAGAGTGCCAATTAAGCTTGCTCATTTACACTGATTCTCGCCTGCTCATTGGCCGAGTGTATCTCTTTTTTTTTTTTCTCTTTTCAGGTCTTTTGATTGGTGGAGGGATCGCGCCAAGTGAATATTCGAGGAATTTCCATTTTTGCATCAAATAATAATGAACAATAACAAGGGCTGTTTGGATTGGTGATTTATCCGGAGTTGAAAAAAAATGTAAAATAAAAATCTGGTGAGTACTCAGTACGACAGCGAGCGAATGAGGTACAGGATGGATGATAAATAATTATTAATAAACAAATTGGTAGATGGATTTTGTTTGTGGGTGGTTGGGAGTGCCTGTCTGTTTGTTAGCGAGCCACACGCCCCAGCGGTCCACACAGGTCTCCCGTACCCCCATGCTTTCGGCAGTTCACCATTAAAAATATTGATAATTTAAAAAATTATTGACATTTTGGAAAATCAGTTGGTCACCCCCCAGATTGTACCAGGTGGTACAAACAATGTCACGATTATAATGAATAAAATGATCTGCGTTTAAGCCCGGGCCCCCAATTTTCACTCATTTATTTAATCACCTACTCCGTATTAATGCTCATTGCTTTTTGGCTCTAGTCTCAATTGGCAAAACAACGATATTTCCGATAAAATAGAACAGATGACAGTGAAGTACGTGATAGAGCAAAACATTGATATTTGAAACATTGAAAGAGAACAATTAAAATAGAAGGGTGCAGTGACTGTTTGTCATTCAATTTAATATTGTTCTTCAGCAGTAATTAGTGAGTAATTAGGCGAGTAGCGCAGTTGTGAGATATCGTGATGGAGACAAGTGGAAATATCGAGATTGATAGATAAGAGAGGCAGTAGTTACAGATCTCGCTGGAGAATTCGAGTGCCGGCCGTTCGCCGTTTTGTAAATCAAAATAAATCGTACTAGTATTGGATTTGTGAGAGACAAATGTAATCGTAAAGCAAATTATAATTGTAATTAAATTATAAATCAGACCTAGATGTGAGAGGGAAGAGAAGACTTGGACCAGAGAGGTGTTACTGTTCACTAATAAACCGAGAGGCAAGGAGGCGTCGAAGTTATCGAAGGTATCACTCACAGTTTTTTTTAAATGTAACGATCGCACGATCGCACAGGCTCTTCAAATAAGAATTGTTCAATGTTTCTTTTAAATTTTTCCATACCATCTACAACCACTACTTAAAAGCTACCACTCTTATATTACCAAAAAACGAAAAAAAAAAATAATAATAATAAGAGGAGAAATGATAAAAAATCAAAATAGGTAGACAGGTAGGTTTAGGTAAGAGGTAGGTAGGTGTGCACACGCCTCGAATTCACTTTACCTGTTAAATTACCGAATTCCTCCAAGATCTCCTCTTTGCCTTTTGACTTTGGTATGTTCCCGACGAAAAGTCGTAGATTAGGAACGCTAATGTTTACTTTCAGACTCTTGCCGGGTTTTATTTCGTAATTATCGAGCTGTGGGATGAAGAAAAAAACACACACATGCCTAATTTTGTACTTTTTTTTCCAATTATTAAACAAAACATTGCGCTGTGGACGCATATAATTAATTTTTTCTTTGTTTTAGAAATAAACCAAAACCAAATAAATAATTATGTAGAATAAAAAAAATATATAAAAAAAAAACAAGTAGATTGATGAAATTTTGTTTCTCTCAATTTGCAATGAATTCAAGAAAAATAGGTGAAATAATAGAGGGAGGAGTGATTTCCCTCGGTAAAATTTTGGAGTTTCTGGAAATGGGTAACACGTGGCATGCGGTTTCGCTCGATTATACCCAGATTTCTGATACCCGGCATTCGCGTGTTTGTTTTGATCATTTGATTTCGAATATAGCATTGAAAATCCTGTAAACAAATTTTTGTGCCTCGTCTGAAAAATTTTGTTACAAAAAATTGTTACTTCTCATGTTTTTTCTTTCTCTCTCATAATTTTGGAACCAATTAGATTACTCTTGTGCCCCTAATGACTCTCAACTGATTGAACGTTGATATATATACATATATATATATATTTTTGTTATTGTTCAGAAGAAGATTCTCCACTCCCAATTTTGCCCACTGAGCAAAGAGGAGAGCTGGAAAAAGAAACTCATCCGCAGGACTTGATTAATCACATCAGTCACTGTTATATGACGTATTCTGGGAATTGGTTGGATTTTGTTGTTCTATTAGACGTTAATAAACATTAATGATACATTGTTGAGAAGGGGGAGGGGGGATAATGATGGGGGGGCATAATTTCACACGTCCATGTGCATGGATAACTTATTCATGTCATGTAGATGAGAAATTATTTAAAATCTATTGTAAATTAATTTTAATAACGTGGATTGTTTGTAATGCATCCTGGGGGTTTCAAAGTATGAATTAGGCGTAAATTGGATTCTCGATATTGATATTGATGGGAGGACAAACACTGGGTCTTAACGGGACTAAAAATTCTACGAACATTGCATCAGAACCAATTTCTGCACTATTACGGATTGAGATAATCACCGAATCAAAGGCATTTTTTAATTGTGATAAATGCAGAGTCAATTCAATTTTAATTATAATTTATTGAATCGTGTGCAGAGATTGGCACCAATGGGAGATAATTTTCGAAAAGAAACAAAATTTTCATTGGGATATCCAATTGGTTCGTTATGGCATCATGTTAACTACAGGATACGAGTTTGGTTTTAAAATATATCTATGTTATGGATGAGACATGTACTAAAATACTCATTTTTTTTTTAATAGGATAATCAAGAATGTGGATGAACATACCTCTCTGACTGCTTGTTGTGCCGCTTCTCGATTGGTAAATGTTATAAAAGCGTATCCCCGGTTGGTGCCAGACATGGGGTCCATCATAAGCCTCAAATCCCAGATTTTTCCACATTTCTCGAACAGTGGAATTAGTTCGTCTTCGTACATGTCTTTTGGAATTTTTCCACAGAATACCTTGAGTACAATGTATTAAAGAATATTTTTAATAACAGAAATGAGAGTACTTCCTGCATTTTCTTTCATTTTTTTTTCTCAGTTATTACCTCACATCCATTTCCTGGAGTGGGCCCTTCCCAACTTGGGGGTGGCCCACCGTATTTTCGTTGTCCAGTGGTGACATCGAGTGGGTATCCAGTTCTTTCAAGTATCATCTGTATCAAATCATAAAAATTGTGTCAACGCATGAGAATTCAGTATCAAAACAATGAAAGGGACTAGTCGATTAAAAATTCATCATAATTATCGAAACACCAAATGAATTTTTTGTAGGCAATTAAATTCCCGACAAAAAAGGATTTCTGATATTTTTTTCAAAAACCAATAGTTCTTCAGATAAATGGATAAAAAAATCATAACATCGAGTAATTACCTTAATTTTGTCTTCGTCTGGTGCTTTGGGCGTTGTACTAGTGCCTGTGCCCTGTCCTGCCCTGCTTTTTTGTCTGTAAGTCTTCATGACACCACAGAGATACGCCGATTTATTAGAAACATGCTCAAGATTTGATTCCAAAAATTGCGTTAGAACACTAAGTGCACCATCAACTGGAAATTCTCTAAGGGCATCGAGGGCTCGTTCATCCAAATCAACGTGCGCTAGTTTCCCAGTTTTGTAAATTTCATCTAATTTAGCCGCCACTTTTTCATCGAGTCCATACTGAATCAACTTAGCGAAGTCCTCCGTTCTCTCGACATACTCCATCTCCTCCTTCGACTGCTTTTCTTCCATTTTGAGTTCCCCATTTCCTTCTGCCATAGCTGAATTGCAAATAAGAAGAAAAAAAAAACCATTAAAATCGCGATGAATCTGATATTCTCACGTTAATCTACACAACACATTATCAGTCGCAATAATTCAGCCCATATCGTTAACGAAATAATAGATAAGCGGAAAAATTGTGGAGTTTGTCTGTTTTGACACGCTACCACGACCGTGACTACTCCAAAAGCTCGCTGACCCCCGAAAATTCCCCTGAACCCAAGAAATCCTGAGGAGTTTCAGGTTATGAGCCCCGTGATGCCAACAATCTCGAGAAAAATCCTCTGAATAACCCCACACCCGACGAATTAATTCCCCGACCCCTGGAAAACCCCAGGAGCCCCTCTGACCACCAAGAAAACCCCCGATACCTTCTAGGTCCCAGAATCACCTGGAGTGCTCCGAACCGTTGACATGCGAATCCCCAGGCTAGACGAAACCAAAAAGAAAAACTCAAAAAATTCCCCCTGATCTTCACCTTTTTCCCTGTCACTTTTCCCGCGCTTCGTTTGTCCGAAAACCCCCCGGGGGAGGGGGCAAAAAAATAAATAAATATCGCTCCAACACAGAGCAAAAAAAAAACACACAAAAGACAAAGAGCGAATTGCGCGTAACGTACGCGAATTCACGGATGTACGCACACAAATACAAAGACGTCGCCCGAACCAAAACAACTGAAAAGACCGTAGACAAAGGGTGGAAAATCCAGGGTTGGCCTGGAGATTTCCCTGGAAAATCAAGCGGCACCCAGAGGGAGGGGGGAAATCCGGTAATTTTCCCTCCCGGCAAAACTGAAATACCCAATTACCGACAAAACGCCAACGAGATACCGACGAGATACCGACAAAATGCCAGCGATATTCCCCCCCCCCCTTGAAAAAATGCCCAGCAAAAATCCCGACGATAATTCACCACAAAAACAATTTAAATAAATCACATCACTCACTCATCTTATTTACATCCACTTGGCTCTGGAAAAACACGTCAACAACAACAATGAACCGTAAATATGGTTCCCCTCGTTATTTGAGAGATGGAAAAATATTAATCTAGGAATGCATCCACGTTCTGGTGTTCCACCCCGTCGTGGAATGCAGTTGTGCACCGTGTGCACTCCGGTTCCGTTCCACGATGGCGGTGTTCCCCCTCCAGCCACCCCCTCCGGTCCCTCGCCCCTCCTGTCTTATCCCCCCGCCACCCCTTTCCACCTGCCGTGCGCGTCTGCGAATTTCCACTGAACCCCCTCCGCTCCGCCGCCGCCCCCTGAAAATTTCCCCAAAATTTCCCCGAACCACCCTGACTCTCTCTGAAGTCCCCCGAACCGCGCCAAACCTCGTTTTCCCGCCCAGACCTCCGAAAACCCGTGAAAATTCGGAGCAACACGAGCCACGAAAAGACCTACAGATCCGCGAACATTCCGACATTGGCAACAACAAAAAAATGAATATTTAAATTCACGATCGTGAAAAATAATAATAAAATAATAACAATATCGTCGGATGGTGTACGTATCATGTGGATGATGGAATAATGCAATAAAACGGTATTGATATCGGTATATCGGCAATAGTGCGGCTGAGAATCGGGCGGGAACGAGGGGAAAGGGAACGTCAAAAAACGTGATCGCGAAACACTACGGGGTCCACAAAACGACGCGCAAAGAGATACGCCTCGAACCCAGCTAAACGAGGATAGAGTAAAGAGAGTGTACGGTTCACACGTACATGTATTTTCCCCCTCTTTTTGAACCAACACACGGGTTTAATACCGGCGATACCGGCGCACCAGAGGCGCTTGTCGTTGGCCATTTTCATGTTGGCCTGGTGCTCCGTCAGCGCCCCCCCTCCTCACGAAAAACGCGCCCTGGACTCTACAGTATGTGCACAACGTGGTGCTTTTAAAGATAAAAAAAAAAAGCAGAGGGGAATAAAAAGAGAGAAAAGAGGAAGAGAATGAAAGGCCATTGGACAAGTTGAGAGGGGGGGGAGAATGAGAGAATTGAGGGAGATTAAACCCACGGACCAACACATGCATCCAGCGTCCTCGACTCAGAACAACGAACTGCCGACCAAGTCCGATGCACTCGAGGCCAAATTTTCGCCGCGTGTATTGCATGTCGCGGTTTTTTCGAGACTTCTTTATCCCTCATCTCACTCGTTTTTTAGCTTCTTCTGTCTGTCTCCCCTATTCGTCCCCCATTGATCTCAATGCTCACCTCGACACCGGCTTTATGCACTTCTTTCAGACGGTTTTTTTCTTCACTCTTCTTCTCTTTCAAAACTCCTCAAATATTTCGGTTACAGAGAAATCTCCAAGCGAAGATATCTCGGTGTGTACTTTATCCTGATGAAAATGACGAATTGGCAATGGAGGCTTCATTGTTGGTGATTAATTGAAAAATAAGCCAGGGGTGACGATGGCCGATTGTTCGCAGTTCTATTTTTTTTTTTTAATCGTTATTTCCAATGAAAAGTCCATTGCACGCTCGATCGAGTTGGGGTATTGCATTTAGAGGATTTCGAGGTTGAGGGAATATGGAAAGAAGGAAAAGGAAAATGGGGAAGGAAATAAAGGTGATGACGGAGTGAAAGTCTGGTGGATTAATACGGGTGAAGACTTGTGAAGTAGTAACGGACGTTGTTGTCCGTCTTATTTCACTTTTGGGACGTAGTGCGTCGATAAATAAGGGACCCGGGGAATTTAAGTTGCGGCCAGACGGTGAGCGAGAGAAGAGCGAAAACTAAAACCAACGATTATTCACTCCGTCCTGTGTCGCTGACCGGACGTACTTGCACATAACCTTGCGAAAAATTGCAAGCGTCGGGGGATAAGAGAGAGAGAGAGAGAGAGGGAGGGAGGGAGAGAAAGAGAGAAAGAGAGAGAATATTCGGCTGAATCCAAGAAAGAGAGAGTGAGAGAGAAAGTAAAATAGCCAGACGGAGTCTCATCATCTCTAAAATAAATGTTGGAAAATTTTGCGCGGGAAGAATAACGAAATTATGACTGGGTAAATAAAATAGATAGAGATCATATGAATTGCCAATGGATTATCAATGAGTTATCAATGAGTTATCAATGAGTTATCGGTGAATACCTGAGCTTGAATTTGTCTTTTTAGCCGAAAATTGATGATTAATTTCCAACGGTCGTCAACTTCTCCTTATCGATAAGAACAGTTAATTCAGTGAGATGATTATTTTAGTCGGAGCAGAGCACCCAATCAACACACTGCAATGCACGAGGACGATAGTCACGATATCTCCGGTATAATCCGCGGTATGCGACACATATTAACCAACGTACAATCGTCACCACAATGTAATTTATCAAGAAGCACTTGCCGAAAAAAAAAACAGGTATCACTTATTCAACAAAAAATACAATAATCCCCAATTCAGTGTTAAACTGGAATTTATTTTCACCAGAGTTTCAGACTGAATAAATGGTATCACTGATGCTGATGTCGATGCCAAAGTCACTTTCGCCGTCTAAAGTTCCTGATGTCCTGTGGTTCTGTTGTCCTGTTGTCCTGTCGTTCGATTCACTGGATATAATTTTTCACTTTAAATTCACTCCGACGAACTTTATACGAAAAATACGTTTATTTCAATTTGTGCTGTTGATGTGCAATTTAAAAAACCAAAAATGATAAAATGAAAAAGAAAAAAAAGGTCCAGGCACTTTGTTGATTGTATATTGCAGTTTTATAAGTGGCGCAAAGTCCGGTGGCACAGCGGTGGTGAAGATGGTTTTTTGGGCAAAATAATACTCCTCTCTCGTGTGGTGCCTACATAGCCGTGTGATGCATAAATTGGACTGTCTCGACTAGTGAACGGTGCAGCGGTGCAAGCCCCCGCGAAACAAAACCAGTTTGCCCGGCTTTTCGCATACAACCAGAGGTTTCAACCAATACAGACAACACCCCGAAGAACACCCCGTAATAAGGTGGTGTTGTCGGAGGAAGGAGGGGGAGCAGGGGGGAGAATAAGGAGGGAAAGCGGGTAAAGGAGAAACCCTGAAAACAGCGCAGATGAGGGAACGGGTGAGGGTACAATTTTGCTACCCAATCCAATCCGATTCAACGGTTTGCCTCTCTTTTGCGGCTACACACACAGACCTGAGCCCCGCCTTTGCATCAGGACCGTCACTATTATTTTCATGTACCTCTGGTGTACTCCAGTGTATGTGTCCATTACTTTTCACCATGGGGTTGAAAAGCCCGCCTTTTACCCCACCATTCACCACTTCGAGAGGTAAAAACACTTTTTCAATATTTAATACCCATTTTTAGTTTCTTACATTCTCCATTCGTCCCTCTCTCTATATTTTTACACAGAAATAGTCAAATGTGATTTTATATTTTTTTTTGTCTTTTTTAGGAATTATTTGTCTGGTGTGGAGTCACGGGGTGAGAGGAGAATTGAGGATTGGGGAGTGATTTGGAGTTGAGGGAATTGATGGATTTTGACTGTTGTTTCCAGATGGTGAAAATTTAGTCTGAGAAATTGGCAAATGTTCGACCTCGAGCGGTGGAGATGGGGAATAATTGATGGGAGGTGGTGAAAAAAATGGGTAAATCCTCGTGGATGGTGTTGTTAAGGGCCTAGCGAGAGGTGGGACTGATCTACTAACGAGTGGAAATGGAAAAGTCCCGGGGGATGATGGGGGAAAAGTAGTAACAGACAAGGGGAAGTGATGGATGTACGGCCCTGGGATCTACCTCGTCTGGAAGTGCGGTGCACCCGCGTCGCCCCTTTCCTCTTGCCCCTTTCCCCTTTAACGAAGAGGGAGCGAAATCGCACAAACAAGACCTCGGAGAAGGACGGGGTAAAGGAACGAGAGATGTACGAGTGAGACCGGGATATTGGGGAAGGGGTGAGACGACGCTGGCGAGACCGAGAGCCACGCTTTGCAGAAACCTGTTTCTACGTTTTCTGCTTTCCGTGTGATTATTATGAATATAAAAACTCCAGCATTGCCTCGCAGTTCACCAAAAATCTACTCTAATCGCCCCACTGCAGTCATCGAATATTTTCTCGTCAATGACGCAAATTTTTTTGCGTTCTGCATTAAAAAAAAAATTGACATTCCACGGATTCGTATATATAATTTATTTAAAATTGAATTATTTGCAGAAGTCTCTGGATTATTTAGGTTGATTGATCCTCTCGATTTTTGCGAATTTTATTAAATCAAGTACTTGGAGTATTTTGGAGTAAATCGAAGTTTTTGGTTTTGCGAATGCATTTTTGCAGGGAGGAAACAATGAGGAAACGGTGAGGAAACAAAAAGGGCTTCTTTGGGATAAAAAAAAAACTGGGGATCGCACGGGTTCGTACATCGGTGTACGGCCGAACGCGTCTCCAACGGCACAATGCACATTTTTGCCATTTTTATTTTTATATATATTTTTTTTGTTACGCCCCAGCAGAGTGCATTGTCGTGGGAGAGTGAAATTCAAACGGGGTTGCTCTCTCCCATCGCCCTGAGCTATTTCGCTGCACTTCTTCACTTTTGTCCTTATCATCTTTTTTTTTTTGCGTCCACCTCACCAACTTGTTTTCGGACTGTAGTCAAAGCACTGCTTGATCGTTCGGCGGAATTTATTTTGCCCTGTCGTTTGAAAAAAAAAATAATAGTCCGCCCACGGGAAATAGCACGAAATTTCCATTGGGTTGGAAAAATGTGGGTTATTCGCACGGGAACGGAAGAGAATTGTCGGACAGGAATTTTGCCGGAAGACACCGTTAGATTTTTTTTTTCCATTAAAAATTTCACTGGAAATTTCAGTTTTTCCTGAGTGTGAGAACAAAAAAGCAATCGACTCACTTATTGACTCGGTTTTTCGAAAATATCTTCGAATTTCCGGGAGATACAAAAATTATTATTATAACACTTTTTGTAGATCTTGATTGCCTCCACAAAAAAGGTTTTATTAAAAAATTCATTATCTCCCAAGGTTCGGAAATTATTACCACATTTTCAAAAAAACCCAACTTCAGATTTTTCTGTATCACATTGAGAATTGTAAAAATTTTATGATTTCATGAAGAAATCTGTGAAAAAAATTAAATTTTTGAAGGTACGAATGACAAATGAAGAATTTATGAAAAAGGCTCTGAAGGCTCCGCAGTTCATAACGATAAATTATTATAATTAGTATATTGTTTGAATAATGGTAGATGCATATTTGAGGGGTTAATTAGCGGATAAATGTAATAATCGGCGAGTGGAAAATCATGGCGTCGAAGAAATCGCCAATCGGCAACAGGTGTCAGGTAAGAGGGAATAAAGAATTTAAAAGATCCGACGTGCTTCCGGCGGCAGGAGGGTTTGTACCCTCGGAAGGGCCCATCCGAGCACTCAGAAAAGGAGAGCACTGAGAGGGGGCGCAATAGACCCCTTCAAGACCCCTTCGTACATGATAAAGAAACGCGCAGTACAGCTGTCTCCCCTCCCTGTATCCTCGAAAAAAAGACATTTTAAAAAACTCGTCTGAATTTTATACTCGCCGATGCAATGCACTGCGTTTCGTGTTACTCACGAATGTTGTATGTACTTTTTCCGCATCCTTCGTTTCTTCTTCGTTCGAGGCTTTTTTTTCGTCGTGGGCCTTTTTACTTGGACCGTCTGTGCGACGTTATGCACGCGTTACTATCATGGGAATATTGAGAGAATTGTACATGTGGTGAACGGGTTTTTGCTGTGAACATCATTTTAATGAATTTTCCCGAACCCTCGGTGGCGGGAAAATCTTCACGAGATGAATTCTTTACAATCAGACCGAAATTTCGAATTACGGGATTGATATATTTATTATTTTACACTTTTTTACGCGTCTTTTTTTGAAAGACTATTTAAGTTTAGGGGAATTATTTTTTTCCTTTCATTCCAAATTCAAATTCAAATCTGAAAGAATTTTCTGGTCATTTTGTCAAGTCGTAAAGTGAGATCTAGACTTGAACTTTGATCGATTTTAATCAATAATTTTTTTAATTGATTGATAATGAATAAAAACGTTGGGAATTATCCAAATGTTTCCAAAAAACAATCCATACCGTGAGCTTTTCTGTTTCAACAAAAACATTTCTGCCTCCCAACAATTTCTCGATTCCCTCAATAAAAGAAAAATCAAACGTTTATCTCTCCTCAGGTCATCGCCCCGACCAATCTTTTTCCACAAATCCCCATCTCCATAGGCAGCCGCCCGTCATTTAATTGATAACGATTCCAGGGCCGTCGAAAACTCGTGAGAATGAGAGATGAGTGATGAATTCTGGAATTCCCTTAAAAAAAAAAAGAAATCGTACCGAAATCATCGGATTATCCTTGACCAAATGCACAAGCACAATATCATAATGTCCTCCACCTTCCCGTTTCAAATTTTTCCCTCCATCCGTCCCATCTGCACTTGTTTCCCACGTAAATATCTCACCCCATCCTTCATGTCCAGAATCCAGGGGATGAGCATCCGAGGAAGAGACCAAACAACAAAGCACCAGAGACTTTTCTCAGGAGACCAAGAAGTGAAAAAAACATATAAAAATAAAATAAGATAAAACGAGTGCGAAATAAACGAGGGGGCCCCCCCTGGCATTAGGGAAACTGGACGAGACCCCCAGCAACTCGTCCTCTCGTTTCATATTTCCTCTGGATTCTCTCAAATAGATGACAACTCGTTCACTATGAGAAAAATTGTCCATCCTCTTTCAGGAGCCAACAAGTAAACAGGGAGAGGCCATCCGAGGGTGCCCCTAGGTGAACCTGATGTACACGGGGTGAGAAAGGTCGAGGGGTCGAGGCTTGGGGGGGTACAAGAGGGGGCTGGTGGTTGTGTGTACACATGGAGACGAGACAAAAAAAGTGTAAAAACGTGAGGTTTTGCCCCCACCCTGGACAGAGAAGGGGTTCACATCACAGGGGGTCGTTAGCACTGGGGCGCTATCCTCATAAGCATCACAATGATCGCCTAAATGTTATGTCCTCCCGTATTAAGTCACCGCGAAACTCTTTTCCTCGTCTTTTAGGATTTCTACAACCCGATCCCTCCCTCTTCATCGGCTTCTTCGGGGCTTCGTTGTCCTCGTTCCTCTTCTGCGCCGTTGTTTTTTTTTTCTCTTTCTCGCTTGTTGAGTTTTTTTTTTGTTTTTTCAACTACTCTCTGGGAACATCCGGAGTTGGGGCGTCATCCCTCGCTTCTTTCGCTTCTTTCTGAGCTCAGGGTCTTTTTGCCATCCTCTGCGGTTTCTATGAACACGCATATGCGGATCTGGGGGGACTGGAAAATTCAGAGATAGATGATTTTTTGGGGGATACGCTGGTGAAGGGGTCGAGCACTTCGAGTGGGTTAGTCTCCTGGGGATTATTCAAAAATAATGTGGGAAGAAGTGATTGTTTTTAAAAATTGAATTCTTTCATCTGCGAATCGTCGATTGCGAGTATTATCGCCTCCTGGAGAACACGAAAAAGAGTTGAAGTGAAAATAAAAAAATTTCCCCTCAACATCTGCCCAGGGACTGATCTATGAATAAAAAACAAATATTTATCCACCAAGTAACCGTTGATTTCGAAATTCCCCAGCAGATGATGTCGCTCGAGGAAGCCGGAAATATCGAAATGAAAATGTTTTTTTTTTCATCTCAGAACTCTAGTCTGGGGGGAATAAATTCAAAGAGTCTGTTGTACCCGATAAATTGTCACGTGATCGACTGTGGGGTCAGGTTAGGGTGAGGGGCCAGCTGCTATCCGAAAGAGGACTGCACATTTGTGCATTCTGAGAGTAAAAATCGATCCGTTTCCCCCAGACACGCTTCCCTCATTCTGTTTCCTTGAAACGTTCACCGAAAAATGAGAAAATATCACTCGTACTATCGTCACCAGTCATTAATGAATGAGTCATCAATGAAAAAATGTCTGGGTGGGGCTAGAGATTGATTCATACTTTTCTATTCATCCACTCCTACAGTCCCTTCACTAAAACTTAAATAAATACACAATAATATTATTTATGCAATGGAAAAAGGGAGTCATTGAGACAGACCCGTCCTCTCTACATCTGTAAATGATCAATATTCGAGAGAATAATAATAGAAAATGTATTGAATATGAAAAATATGCAATAAAAATACTCTGCAAATGGAAAAATTCATTCATTTTAATTAACTAGTACTGATTTTTTTAAGAATATGAATCAAAAAATATATTCACCGAAATTTCTCTCATTTCTATCAATTTTTGAGTGATGAATTTTTTCCTGGAAATTTCAAGGCTTAATTTTCTCAGCATTAACATTAGAAATGTTAAAACTAAAATTCAATTAAATGGCTTTAACCTCCCACTGCGCTGCAAATTGTTTTTTAATGCATCTATAATCGAAATCGAGATTTAAAAAATATTTCTGCCAGCCGAATTTACTTTGCGCGAGTAAATTTCTGGATTTTTGTTAAATAATCAAAATTATTGCGTTCATTTTTTATGAACCCATATATTAAAATTATAATATATCAGAGAAAAACCGTAAAATATACTTGTGTAAAATATTGTAAGAGATAATTGTTCTGACTAATTCGAACTGAGGGCCTCATGCATTTGAGTTAGTAGAAACATCCTATAGCATTCAACAGTTCGCCTGACTATAGTTAGGGCGTGTTTATTCGGTGACTCCACGTTCTTACGAGTGCAACCGACGCTCGTAGCAAGTGTTTTTGATATTGCGGGTGTACCTGACCGCGAGAGCCCCAAATAATATGTGTATAACCCGAAGACACCCCTGAGCGCCCAGAAAAAAAATCGTGTGAATCTCTCGTCATCACAAAAAAAAATAAAATGCAAGTTGCAATGGTGCGTTTTGGAGTGGCAGTCATCCTGATGACGATCTGCCTTTGGGGCGTTGTCGGGCAGTACGAGTGGCAAACCAGAGACACCTTCGACGAGGTTAAAATGCGAATGGAGAAAGTAACATCTGATAACTGTGAAATTCAGCACCTGGGGGATCTTTTTCTACCCGAGGACGCTGTATCCCACCTTCCCGATGTCAAAGACATCAACATCAATCCAGTATTTCCAAACAGAACTGCTCTCCTTCACCTCCAAAACATGGCACTCAGCAGATCCTTCTTCTGGAGTTATATACTCCAATCGAGATTTATAAGACCTGCGATAAACGATACGTACGATCCTGGGATGATGTATTATTTCTTGTCCTCGGTTGCTGATGTATCTGCCAATCCTTACATCAATGCATCTGCCACTTACTTCTCACCGAATATGTCGTATTCACCGAGTTATCGAGGATTCTTCAACAAGACTCTGCCTAGATTTGCACCGAGAACATTCAGGTCTGATGATTTCAACGACCCTGTTCACTTGGAGAGAATATCTACGAGGAATACATTCATCGTCAGGGATCTGGGGGCCTTTCCTTCTCAAAGCCCCAGTCTTGATTATACTGCTGATGATTATAGAATTAATCAATGGTAATTTTTTCTATTATTCTTTCATTTTTCAGGAGAATTTTACATTGATGTTTTCAGGTACAAGGCTTGGTTGCCAGACAATCCCCAGAGTCGACACGACACGAAGACGACGTATCAGGTAGAAATTCGTTACGCAAACAACACGAACGAGACGTTCTCCTTCCACGGACCGAGAGGTACATAGACATTTGTGTTGAATATTTTTCAATTTCTCAACAATGACTGGATTTTTTCTTCAGGAGCTGACGAGGAACCGGGACCGATAAAATGGACAAAACCGTATTTCGATTGTCATCGCTCGAACCGTTGGCTGGTGGCTGCAGTGGTTCCTATAGCTGATATTTACCCTCGTCACACTGGTTTCCGGCACATTGAATACCCCACGTAATGAAAAATCCAATTTTTCGGATAAAATAATTTTTAACCGAGTAAACTAGTTAACCAGATGCTCGAAACCCCCAGCGAACTTTTCTATAATGATATTCACACCAATGGGTAAGGGGGGCCTAGTCAAACCGGGTTGTGTGGTTGCACATGAATTCTTGAGAGCAAAAAAAATAAAGAATAATGTGGCCATGGGGATTAAACGATCTCTCATGGGATTAAGATTCCGATTGCGATAGAGCATCGATCTTTATTTCATGATACGTCTCCTCTATTGTGACTCAAGAATGTCTTACTCTCAAGATGAGCAAGGCCCAACGTGTTTAGAATACTCAATGTTAGAAACCACAGGAATCATCTTGAGGACCTAGTTTTTAAACTTGATTTTAGATTTTGAATTGTTTTATTATCAGGTACACTGCTGTTACTGTTATGGAGATGGATTTTGAGAGGATTGATATAAATCAGTGCCCAAAGGGTAAGGGAAATAATGGGCCCAATAGGTTTGCGGGTACTGCCAGGTGTAAGACGGATACGACTGAGGTAATTTTCGCTTTATTGAAACGTCTTTGATTTAATGGAATTGAAATCCTGGGGATATGACTTCGGCAGTTATCCAGAGAATTATTGAAGATTGAATTTTTTTCTAGTGTGAACCTCTCCATGGCTGGGGGTACAGAAGAGGTGGTTACCAGTGTAGATGCAAGCCAGGATATAGATTACCCTCTGTTGTCAGAAGGCCCTTCCTGGGAGAAATTTTGGAGAGGGCAACGCAGGAGGAGTATTACAATGGTTTTGACTGCTCGCGGATAGGATGTTAGTGCAGTATAGATTTTTTAATTAACTCAATCGATCTTTCGTTAATCATTGATTTTCGTTGATGGTGTTTGAAGGAATTGATAGAATTGTCTTGTTCCCAGGGGTTCACAAAATGCCAGTCCAGTGGGAAAAGGCTCCACCTCACATGAAGGAAAAATACCTGGAGCAGTACTACGAGTACAGGAACTTCTCCACAGGCCCTGATTCCCTCCAAAGAGAGAAAATAAATATCGATCAAGTCCTCAAGTTTATCCTGAGTGTCAATGAGAAGACCTGTGGAAGGTACACTAAACAACAGCTGAATCTCCATGGGGACATTGGATTCGGTGCTCAAGAGTTTTTCGAGAACGAAGCCAGGATGGCAACGCGTCTTGCTAATTTTATTAGTGCATTCCTTCAAATATCAGATTCCCAAGAAGTTTATTCGGGTAAACGAGTCGCTGATAAACCTCTCACTGAGGATCAGATGATCGGAGAGACTCTGGCACTACTCATGGGAGACACTAAAATATGGTCTGCTGGAACTTATTGGGATCGAAATAAATTCACCAATAGAACTTTCTTCGCTCCCTATGCGTACAAAACTGAATTGAACTCCCGGAAATTTAAGGTCGAGGACTTGGCACGCCTAAATAGCACGGGTAATTATCTCCATTCAATTAATTTTTAATTGCCTTTTTCTCACTGTGCATTAAACGGTGGAATATTTGCAGAGGAAGTCTATACGAATCAGCCTTGGTTCAAGGTTCTTCAGCAGAGGTGGGCAGCTAATTTTGACGAGTTGGAGAAATATTTCATGAAGATTCACATCCGTTACAATGAGACCGGAGAGCACAGCAAGAAATACGAGCATTTCCCCAATTTCTACAGGTGAGAAAACCGAGAAAGGGAGGAAGGAAGAAAGAAGAATGAAACGTAGAAACTGAATGTTTTTTTTTTCCAAAGTTCTCCACGGGTATTAGTGCCCATATTGACATAAAGGGATTATGGTTTCGAGGGAAGAGATAGTTTGCGAAAACTGGGATGGGCTTGACCATGAAGAAAGCAGATAGTTTTTTAGGGGATTCTCTGCTCACCTCTTTCTCGCGTCGTAATTTATTTTAATATGGGTATGTCTCTGGTGTTCTCTAGGGCAGCAAACCTGAACCACGGCCACTGGACAACTCCTTATTTCGATTGTAACGGCAAAGTGAATAAATGGGTAATTACCTATGCATCCCCATTTTTTGGCTGGGACAGCCTCAAGGCTAAACTGGAATTCAAGTGAGTACAGACATTTCCTCACCCTCTTTCTCATTCGTTTGTATGGGTGTGTTGTTACTGTGTTGTGGAATTATTCTCATGTGGGGGGTAAATTGAGTGTGAGATAGTTGGGGATGTGAACCAGTCTCTGAGAGGATGGAACAACGTAATAAAAAAATTTACCTATGGGGAAGATGGTGTTTAACATTGAGAACAATTTACAGGGGTGTCGTTGCTGTGACCATGAATTTGCTTCAGCTGGACATCAACCAGTGCGACGAGCAATTTTGGGTGCCAAATGCCTTCAAGGGCACCCACAAATGCGACCGAAAAACATCATACGTACGTCCTATTCACATTATTTCATTTTTTAAAAAGACGCAGAAGATAACAGCTCCGTAAATATTTTGTCATCTAAAAGAAATACCAAAATAATTTGTTTATATTGAAAATCGTTTACGGTGGAATCAGCAATTGTATTTAATTCTTGCAGTGCGTCCCACTCCTAGGAAGAGGCTTTGAAACCGGAGGGTACAAATGCGAATGCAAACAGGGATTCGAGTACCCCTTCGAGGACTTGATCACTTACTACGACGGTCAGCTAGTTGAGAGTGAATTCTCAAACATTGTACAAGACAAAGAGACTCGATACGACATGTTCAAATGTCGAATCGCTGGTGCAGCCTCTGTGTGCGCCAGCTGGAGCCTCATAATATCAGTTTTAGCATTTTTCTACCATTTCTATCGGAGATAGATTAATTAATTGATATTTATGGTGTTACGAATGTCTTCAGTGAGTCATTAATCCGTCCAGAAGCTATTTTTTTTGCAATTCAAAGAGAATGATCAATTTTATATGTTTTTATAGAGCATTTTTATCGTGCACATTTTTAGATAATAGTTCTTAGATTGTAATGGGAGATTAAACTGATAACGCGCGTCTATATTCCGTCCACGAACAAGTGCCTTTTTTTTTGTAATTGGGAGGATTCCTCAGTCACCCAAAGAATCTCTTCAACTGTGTTAACATTTATACAAATTCATGTGTTCATAATCCATTTTTTAAATAATGCAATAATATTGATTTGTCATATCTCGTGAAGATGAAGGTATGGAACAGTTTGTATTTTTATGATGAGACGTTTGAATAAAGTTTTTAAATTAAAATATTTCGCTTACCCCTCACTATTATTTGCATCACGCCTAGATCCTTCAAATCCATCCCAAGAAACATGAATTTTTAGAGCCAAGCGGGTTCATCCGTTTTTCATTGATAACTTTGGTCCCAAAGTGTGGAAATTTCAACCAAAATTGTCCGATTTTCCTCACAATTGACAAGTGACTAGCTTGTTTGTAAAACAAATGATTCGTTGCTAAATCTTCACAATGGCGACAATTCAAGTACCAATTTTGCGATTTGAAATTATAGTTCAAAGATATGGGAGGAAAACCGGTTGCCAATTCTCGAGAAAATACTCCAAATAGAGTAGAGCGATAATTAAAAATATATAAATCGTAAGGAACAGGAAAATATATGACAAAATTAACAGAAACATTGATTTCGAATTCGTTTTCGTGATATCAATAAAACGAGAATTTCGACTAGTTCAATTCTGAATGATATTCTTTTTTTTTCATCTCACCTTTTTTTCGTTCGATACTTAGGAATATATCATTTATCCTGGCAGCAAAACTTTGGAAATTTTCTTCTATAAGTGAGAGGATCAATTACTCACGAGAAAATAGAATGAATAAATAAATATTGAACAGTTTTATATATTTACAAAAATGTCTAACATCTCTGAAACATTCGATCCACAAGGGTGGACCGAGGTGGTGCAGTTCTTTACATTTTAATTGGCAGAATAATTCCATCACTCTTTCTCCTCGTCCTTCTTACCCCCCAAGTAATGATAATTCATAAATCTATACAGCTGCGTCAATTGCGCTCCTTCATTGGTGAAATGACAGGCAAAAAGGAGAAGATTCCTCGGCTGTACTCGCAATGAAAATCGCATGAACATTGCGGAATATAGACAAAGTGCTGGAAAAAAAAATTAATTAAGTCCCCGAGTCATGCGACACATCGTCATAATTTAACTAACCAACAGTCATTTTTCCGCTGATAAAATTTGGGTCCCGATTGATATCAGCAATAGCTGCTATAGGGATTCCCCAATTGGCCACTGGTCCCCAGAAATGTGTGCTAGAAATAAAAAGAAGAGTATTGAAAAACAATTTGAATAATTGAATTTGGATAATTTACCTCATGAAATAATCACGAGTCTCTTTACTCGAAAGGGCTTTCATTATTCGATTCATCTTGAGTATTTTATTGCACTATTTTCGGGCGAATCACTGAATTTTGTGGAATTTCTGGGAATTCTAAGTGATTCTGAAACTGTGGCAATTGTCCTTTGGTACTTGCTGATTGTTATGCATTCGTGTATGTAAATATATCGAATGGATGGGCTAGGATGAGGTGGGGATTCTCTGATAAAGCTTGATTCTCATCAGCTGCGACAGTTTTATTTTTCCTTTAGTAAAAAAATCATGAAGCGATTTTTTTCTTGGATGATTTGAGTGAAATTAAAATTCAGGATCAATAACAACAAATAAATATCATTTAAGCATTAAAGAATGTTTTTAATTTAGAATACACACTCGAATATATTTACATAAGTTTTGTTTCCATAATATATTAAGACCTTAAATAAAAACTAAATATTATCATGATGATTCTGTATTTTGCAAACATAATTACAAATCGGGGAGGGGTGAATTTGAAATAGAATCGAGGCCCTAGATAAAATAACATGAAACTGGTAGGGGTAGGCAGGGGTGGGATTAAAATTAAATATAAAATTTACAAGTTTTCTTAAAAAATAAAGGGGGAGGAAGAAAAGATAAAAACTAAACAGATCTGCCTTCGTTACAATGAGGCTTGTGTTTTCATTTTTTTTTTTTTGTTGAGAGTTTATTTCTCTTGTACGTTCTACGGGGAAAATAATGATTACGTCATTCAGTGAAAATATTTGCTGATTTATCACTGAATTGAGTTTGCGAAAGTGTGAAACGGATGATATCTTAATTGAGGTGTTGAAGAGGTATACGGATTGCTTCGCTCCCCCATTAATAATTTACCCATCATAATTTACTCGATAGTTATTTCGATAAGGTCACCCCGAGGGCGAATGATCCCATATATATTTGTTCCATAAGGTTTTTTTTTCTCTGGACTAGATAAACAAAAGATATCAATGATTCATTCGTAATCGATTGGAGTAAAAAAGAATATTTCTTCGAATTAATCATTTATAATGCAACTACTCATTAGATTTGTTCTAGTATCCCCTATGCCCCTCAACACCAAAATAAAAATGCACATTCGATCATTGCAGAGTCCTTTGGTACGCATTGATCAATGAAAAAAAAAACAAAATAATAATATTCTCCTAGTAATAATATTACTAAAAATAAAAAAACATAATGATGATAGCTATAATGACGACTGATTATTGATAATCATCTTAAAGCAATTAAATAGAAGATTAAAAAAAGGATAACCACACTCGATTTTCAGTCATCGAGTTCATTCAGAGACCCTGAATTTTGTAAAAATTTACATTAAAAAATCGCATGAAAAATAATGAGCATTAACGATAGGCTTTTTTTTTTCTTTTCTCAAGTATCGTCGGTGAGAAAGATATTGCTGACTCGTGAGACTCGATTCCTCGAATTTTCATCGCATTGCATGAGAAGATGGACAGAATAAACGATAAAAATATATATATATATTGTTAAGGCACAATTTCCATCACCTTCTCACGCACCGGTTTTTCAAGCGCTTAATATACACAGCATACACACTCAGACATACCGTTGGATCATAAACTCTGTACATAGTACATACATTGAAATTAGTCTTCGATAAACTACCTCGGTTAGATAGATTTCACGCGATGTATCAGTTGCCAAGTGCTAGAGTAATTCGAATATTTTTTTTAATGTCGATTTATCTCATTGACTTACATTTCGGACCTAAAAAATCCTTCAAGAGTTTCCGAGATAAATCAATAATTATGTAAAATTTCATTCGATTGATCTCACTTTATCACTCGGTAAATCGCTATTAAACGAATCGATTGTCCAATTTTTAGATATTTTTGTAGGAAAGGATCTTGAGGACCTCTACGAGAGAAGACAACGTAGCGGAAAAAAAACCGAAATTTCAATCGAATTATTCACTTGGTAAATTTCTCTACTGCTTATTATCTTTCCCTTGTAAAGACTTTCGAAATATTAAAGGCACTTCGATCAAAGGCGACCGTATCAATTCGTTATTTTTCAATTGAATCTCACATTTGTACATATCGAAGAAAAATTGTTGATATTTTATATTATTTCGTTACCGAACGAACTCCAATTTTTCGCGAAGCTCTAGTACTTTTTTCCACGCTACCTAATGAAAAATAATTTATTTAATATATATATTTTTTTCTATCGCGTTTGTTTTTATCGAATTGCAGCCTTGGCACGCCCTAGAGGACAGAATACTTAATTCTACAATAAGTAATTGAAGAAAAAAGAGAGAGAAACAGAGAGAGACACAAAGAGGGGAGGGAGGCAGCGAATGTATACATGATAAACTGATAAATGTTGCTTAGATTATTGAAGGGATAAAGTGACGTCTTTCGTATTTCAGGGGAAAAATACGTCGCATTTTGCCTGAACACATTACATCCGTTCGCTTAAGATTGTAATAATAATACAATCGATGAGAGAGAATTTCTATACAAAGAACGATTGACTGCTCACTCGATTCGAAAATAAATCGATCAGTCAGCAAGTGATTAGACTTTCTTCGTTTGATACTAAAGGAAAAGATGATTCAAACAACGAACCGGGACTTTTTTTTTCTTCATTTTTCTTTCTTCTTTTGTAAGCCACATTATTCTAATTATTGGCAATATCACAGTACTCGCTGAAACACACGAAACCCCACGGTTTCTTATTTTTTCGCATTCCCATATTCATCGTATTGATATCCCCACAGCTACTGAATTCGAACTCCTGCACTGTTGTAAAAATTGGAGGAGAACAACTCCCGAAAATATTTTCAACAGTGCATAAGACACTGCCATTACACCAAAAAAAAAAAAAAACCATAATTATCCGCGAAACTGACTCTTTCTTCCCAATGAAACGATAAATAAGATGCACGAGAGGAAAGAATATTAAAAGAATGGAAAATAATGAAGGATTGAAAGCGGTGATATTTACGAACTTGTAATGGCATTGCCTGGACGTGGCCTAATGTCATACATAGACCGGTCCCTGATTGTCATTATCGTCAAGACTAATTCGACTAGGATAAGCTGGACCTCCGCCGTCATCGAAAAATCGTCGAAAGGTGAATTCAAAGAATCCGTGGAAGGGTTTTCCGTTATCGAGTAATTCACCGGATTTGTCCGAGTCAGAGGCCTCGGAATTTCTCAACTTATCAGGATCCACTGGATCAAAATTGCTGGTATCGGTTGGATCTTGAATGCGAGGTATATACGGAGCAACTTGTCGACGTAAACCTTTGTCGAAGTCTATGCTGCCGAAGAATGGATGGCTCTTGACTTCGTCGGCATTTTTCCCCAATCGTCTGTCAGCATTCGTGCACAATTTCAGAATTAAATCCATACTGTCTGGAGATAAATTCGCCTGCTTCGGTATGTGGAGAGTTGTCTCCCAATTGATCACCTGAAGAGGGAATAAAATTCACAGGTACAATTGATCTATTGGATCAACAACGAGACAATGAGGGACCGATAGAATAAATATAGAGGGATGTTTCACCTTATACTGAGTTTCAGCCGGTGTATTTGCGTAGAATGGAGGCGATCCTACGAGCATCTCGTACAGGATCACCCCAACACTCCACCAATCGCACAGTTGGGTGTAACCAGTTCGCAGTAAAACCTCTGGTGCAATGTAATTCGGTGTCCCTACAAGGGAGTGAGCAAGACACCTCTGATGCTCTCTGTATCTTCTTCTTTCCAGGGGCTTCAGCTGAATGCAACGGCACTCATTGTTCCAGTCGTCAGCTGGGTCCATCGAATCCTGCTTATTGTGCCCTAAAATCCATCATTGAAATTCAATTAATTTTATAATTATGAATCCATACAATATAATATAATATTCACTTACCATTCTGCTGGTAATACTTGGAATTGTGTGTCCATCTGAATCCCGTGCAGAGTCCAAAATCCGTGAGTTTGATATGTCCATCTCGATCAATAAGAATATTATCAGGTTTAATGTCCCTGTGAATGAATCCCATCTTGTGAACACTCTCCACAGCACATGTGAGCTCAGCAATGTAAAACCTCGCCAGTGGTTCATTGAATATCATGAACTTGATGAGCAACGACATCAGATCACCCCCAGGAATATAATCCATGACAAAATAAAGATTATCCTTGTCCTGAAACGAGTAGTAGAGCTTGACAACCCATTCATTATCAGCCTCAGCGAGAATATCACGTTCAGCTTTAACATGTGCCACTTGATTTCGATTCAATACGTCAGCCTTCCTGAGTGTCTTCATTGCATAGAACTGATTTTTAGTGTCCAACTTCCTGACGAGTGTCACCTCTCCAAAGGCCCCAACCCCAATGACCTTGATCTTGGTGAACATGGTTTTATCCATTTTTGCTCTTTTGAGTCTGATGTAATTGGACTCCTTCTGGGAGAGCATTTTTCTCATTTGACATTGTGCCTCAGCACTCAATCCGATCTTGGCCATTTCTGTCTCCAGCTGGAGCCTCCTGTAGAGCCTCTGCTTGTGGGACTTGAGGACGTTCTCAACGTGCTGCTCCATGAAAAATTTAAAAGCCTGGGGAGAATAATTCCTGACTTTGCAGTCTCGTCTCTCTTCCTCCTTCTCCTTGCTCATGTGTTTTCTCTCGGGGATGGGTGACTGGTGTTTTATTTTGTAGGGACCCTTGGCACCGCTCTCAGAGGATGCGGGATGATTTCCAGGATTTCTATTGGCCACTGAGGATGAGGCTGTCGGTGGTAATGGGGGTGACTGCTCTGGGTGTTGCTGACAGCTCTCCACTGGCGAGTACTTTCTCTGGAGTGGAGGATGATGAGCCACTGGTGATGATCTCGGTGCATTAGCCCCTTCGACATTAGAAATATCTTCGGTTGGGGTGCCATAGGGTGGAGGTGGCAAAGGATGGTGCATGCTACGTTGGGCAGCCAGTGCTTGCATCGTTGTGGCATAACTTGGGGGCTCTGTCGTGGGGACAGGTACTCCGAGACTCTGATTATTCGTGTTGTTGTTGTTTACTGGAGGATATGCAGGTGGTGGAGGCTGGGGCTGAGGTGAGGGTTGACTCTGCTGGACTTGTTGGATTTGTTGTTGGCCTTGTTGAGACTGAACTTGAGATTGGGATTGTGATTGATTCTGGGTTTGAGGTTGAGACTGGGATTGGGACTGGGGTACAGGCTGAGTCTGGGACTGCTGCTGCTGATGCCCCTGTTGTTGCTGCTGCTGCTGCTGCTGTTTCTGCTGAATAGAGGATGCATAAGATGGAGGTGGTGGTGGTGGAGTACTGCTCGTAGAAATTGGTTGGGGTGAGGTCGGTGCAATAGCAGTTTGTAGCACAGGTTTTTGCACCTGAGTACTTTTAACCGACTGCATGATGATGGGAGGCTGTGTCTTGGCTTGTCTAGCTCCCCAAGCCTGGAGGGGTGTTGGTCTGGCCATAGAGCCCTGTGTGCTGGGTGGCACTGTCGACACAGTTATGGGTGAGGGTGAACCAGCTGACGTTGGCCCCGAGTAAATTCCAGAAGAAGGGCTCTTCCTGTAATCCTGCTGTGATTGCGTCGGGCTCTGACGATTCTGCATCGATGCACTGTACGATGGTGGCTGGACAGTCCCTGACGATGACGATGGAACAATTGGATAGGGCGGTGGTGGCTCGACCTGTGTACTTGAGCTACTGCTGTTCGACTGGTACATACTTAGTGCTTGCATCTGCTGTGAGAGCTGCTGCTGCACCTGAGGACCATTCTGAACTATCATGGGTTGTCTACCGTTTGAGGTACTGGTAGAAGTGGCCACTGGACTGGTGCCTCTCTGCGGAGGATTTCCAGACGACGAGTTCGTTGAGGTTGAAGTGGTTGGAGGGGCTCTGCTGGGCACCACTGGTGCTGGGGACATCCTCTTGAGCATCTGCTGCATATTCGTGGGCACATTTGGCTGGCTATATGGTGCATGAGGGGGCGGAGGAGGTGGTGGAGTAGATGAGCAACGAGGCGGAGGTGGTGGTGGTGGTTCACGCTCAACAAAACTGTTTGGCGAGTACTGTCGACTGAGTTGTGGATGGGGACTGAGCTCTGTCAATCTCGGGCTGTCTGATCGAGAGCTACCAGCTCCAGAGTCGAGTGCTGGAGAGCCCCGTTGCAGGGAGAGTTCACGCTCTAGACTGGGCTTACGAATTAATTTTGAGTTTAGTTTACCCAGGCCATTGAGGGACTCTCCTTGGGCCTGTTTGAGAAATTCAATTGCAGCATCGAGACGCCATCCTGCCATCTTGAGGGCCCTCAGGCCTATCTCCTCGGGATAACCCATGGCCAGAAGCTGGGCAATTGCCTGACGTTGCTCGGGTTTGTCAGTTATTGAGCCTGAAGCACCTGATAATCCACTCAGACCAGATGCTGATGATACACCACTGGTTGTCGAGAGGGTTGATATTGTACTGGCTGCACTGGATCCAACTTCACCTGTGCCACCACTGTTGGCAAATGGTAACAGGGAATTTCTTATTTCAGCTAGTGCCTTCTGATGATATCCAGAGCCGCGAGTGCTTGACTTGCTGACAGCGGATGGATTCATAGTGGCCCATGCTAGGTCTGCTCGGACCTAGCTCCAATTGAGCAGCAGCATTAATCTATCTGAAATAAAAATATTCATTGATATTGATCCATCGATTGGATTGCCTTTTATCGAGATTCCAGAAATCACTTCTTACAGAACAGTTGTGACCGTTATGAATGCAGATGGGGACATTTCGCAGACACTCCGAAATTCCGTCAGTTAAATAAAATCGCTCCAATCAGCCAGACAACCACAATCTCATCCATCAAAACAAAAGAACTCCAAGGATGAAAATATCTTCCCAATAATTGACTTTATCCTGAAGGTGAACGATCTTGTTCGTGAGCTCTATAAATACAAATTAACAATTACCAGTGAGACTCTCGATCTCTCAGGACTCGATTCCCTCCCCAATGGCGACCTATAAATCGTGAAAACACTCACAAAATTCAACAGCACCAGGTGTTATCCAGGTAAATCCATCACAAGCACAACCAAGATTGATCTATTAACACAAGTAACTTAACCTAATCACAAGTAAAATCCTATTAAATAGTCCCTGTTCGAGTACTCATAACTCCCACATAGATAACACCCAGATATAATGAATAAATAATTAATTATCACACCATAAATCCAATAAATATCGATAAATACTCGGCAGAGCGTTGTTTAATGTTAAATAATAAACTGAAAACCGATGCCCCAGTGGTAATGGTAAAGTACGTGTGTGTATGTATGTGTTGAAATAAGTTACCCGAGCATATTACGTTTTACCACCTCTTCACAATGAATTTAACGTTAAAACAGCTAACGTCAATCACCAATTAAACTTATAAACTGATCAATTAATTTAACCCAACAAATGTTAATACGATAGTAAATTATACGATCGACAACAAAGAAAGATACGGCCGTAAATTACTAAAGTAACTGGCAGCCATTTTGAAGTGCCACATTCCTACACCGACTTGACACTCTTTTTCGTAAATTTACGGTGAGCATGATATCCCGAAGAGGTTATACCTCAGGAGAGACCTGCGATCGTGGGGTTGGCGTGATCCTAGGGGTTTTAGTACCGACCCCACAGACAGGAGGGCACGACGATCTCTTGGGGTTTCGTTTAATTACTCGGCTGCAGTCACTGGAAAATGATCTTCAGCTCCAAAGAGGATTGACTAAAGTAGTGGCTCTGGGGGGTTGAAGGATCCCAGCGGCATCGTAGTACTGCACCCCAAGAGAGGGAGGGCGCCCCACGCAATGCTGGGGTGTCCATCAAGTCGACGGGGTGTTTTTTTTCATAATAATTCCTATTTTTTTTTTTTGTTAATGGCAAATCAATCGAAATACCGCTTAAAAACTGAATATTTGAAAATCGAGAAGATATTTAGTAAAATTGAAAAATTAGCAATTTTTTAAAA